TGGTCTGGATCCATGCTGGTCGCAAACCCATTACGTTGGTTTTGTCATGACACGGCTCATATTTACATGAAATGACACTCTAAGAAAAAAACAACTCAAGTATTCAGAAAGCAATGCTAACACAGTCAAGTTATCAACTTAATGACTATCTACATTTTAAAAAAAATAAATTAATTTTTGGTCATTTAATAATCATTTTTTTCATTCAAAACACAGTGCATGTATAAGGAAAAAAAAGTTTTGAGACAGATTTAACACTTCTTTTTTGCTATAGAGAGAGAACTGTTAATAAAACAAAATTTTATGTCTTATCTAAACTTTCACATCAATTTTGCATTAAAAAAAAATCAAAAATATGAAAATAAATTTTCAAACTAAAACTAAAAAACTTTCCTTTTAAAATAAAAGATAATTTCAAAAATATTTGAATTCTCCATAAAAATGTTTCATATTCATGTATTAAATGTGGCATTAAATTGAAATATTTTGATAATTTTCAAATGTTTAAAAAATAGTATGATCTGTGAAAATTGTTTCTATATACAATATATTTAAATACTTTTCATTTTTTTGGAATGGCATTATAGATAGAAGAACTAAATAAAAACATAAAACAATAACAAATTTAAGAATAAAATAAATGAATAAGCATGTACCTAGATACATTTTGATCAACGTTAACATGAAGAATAAAGTAAATAATCATAAAGATATGCTCAAAAATTTGTAAATATTTTGATCAATTTTATACAGTATTTGATTAATAAATGTGTGCTCAGAACTCTGAATGTGATCATTTAATTATCTTTGATGAATTTGTGCCACTAAAAATGTAGTTTATTTCTCTATAGCAAACAAAAAATAAAAGAAAGAAGTTACATTGTCTATGAAAGTGAAAATATACATGTGTGGGATATATAAGAGAACAATATTAATGTGAACTAGTTTTTCTGTGAATTCAGCAATTTAGTTTGGTAATTAAAGGTTATAAAAAGCGTTCTTAAAAATTGAAAAACATAAAGCATGAATGCGTAATTTAGAGATTTATATATATGTATACATAAGGAAAGCCTCAATTAAAGCATCTTCTTTAAAACATTTGTAGTAGCAATTTAGCTATGTATATTTATGTGACATTACTTGAATGTGCATTTTTTTTTTTTTTTTTTTTTTATGTTTCTATATTAAATGTGTTTGGCAATTTATAAGATAATTCATCATACACATACATTCTTCAATGTTTATTTACACTTATGTTAAAAACATCATGATCACTTTTGGGCTTTAATGGCAGAGAGAAAAAAGCTCTGGGTTATTTCAGGGCATAAGCAGGCGACTAACTAGAACCACAGACCTTCCATAATTTGGAATTCCCATTGGTTATGAAATATTTTCTGTACACACTACCTTATGTAAATGCACTGATCATCTAATTTCTTACATCTGTGTTTCTAATCCATTCAAAGCAAATTGTTCAACAAGACAAATTAAAAATCAAGCACACTTTTGACAGAAAATATGGAAAAAATAATTAATTTTTTAACATAAAATCCAATAATAAGCATTTATGTTAAGCATAAATAACATTAAAAATATTACATAATTATACTAGTCTATTAAAATTTTCTACAAAAACATAACTTTCTTTCTAAACCCCATATCCCCCCTTGCTGTGTATCCCATATTCTCTCCTCTCCGTCCATATCCAATTCAAATTCCCCTCCCTACCCCTTGACATACTCCCTTCCCCTTAAAATCTTCAAACAACACTTCAACAAAAACAATACTTAAAAATCTACTCTATATAAAAAAATTTCAACAACAATCCATTTCCTATTAAATAACAAAACATTTTCCTTTTTTTCTCATTCAAAGGAACCCCAGTACTTACACAAGCCCTCTGAATGTGCCCTCTGATTTATGCCTTTTTCTAAAAGAAACAAGCAATTATCATAGTATTGCAAGCAATCCATAAGTCCCCTACCAGTTAGAACCCCATCAACATTCTGTAAGGGCCAGTGGCCATTCACTAATGTTTCAATTTTACTCTATTTTAAGTAAATTTGTTGGAAAAGTTCTTTAAAAGTGATCACAGGATACAGTTTTTATGAACAGACAGACAGACGGACTGAAGGACACCCTAAAGTTAATAATAACTCTAAAGATGAAACATCCCTGTTATCAAAATATAACATTTTTAAAAGCAACATTCTTAAAGAGGAGATAACTCTTGAAATAAAGATGCAATTTCATAAAAATTTTTACCTCTTTTTGACTAATCACAAATATTGTTATATTTGCCATGTTTTAAGCCTATTTGTTGCCATGGCAACCATTTTTTTTCAGAATAGGAAGAAAAGATAAAGACATGCATAATTTCCAAACTGCCATCTTTAAATAAAAATATTTCCAGTACTTTTTGAGTATCACTGGATTCAGTTTATGTGTAAAAATTGCCATAATTTTTAGTCTATTTGTTGCCGTAGCAACCAGAATTTTCAACATAGGAAGAAAAGAAAAAGACGTGCATAATTTCCAGACTGCCATCTACCCATATGTCAAGTTTCATTAAAATATTTTCAGTACTTTTTGAGTTATCACTGGATCCAGTTGATGTGTTAAATTTGCCATATTTTCAGTCTAATTGAATTTACTGTTACCCATTGTTCTCCAAGTCAACACAAGTACCTCTGGGTTCCTTTGGACAGACAGACGGATGGACAGAGGGTAAACCTAAAGTCCCCTCCTGTAAACCGGTAGGGGACTAATAAAATATTTTCTATTTGTTTTGTTTTTTTGCCATTCTTTTTTTATAAATTGATAACTAGTTTAAGCATACCTGTATTTAGTTAAGCTAGATTGCAACACAACTTCTTGCAACTTATAGTAATCATTTCGAACCTGCTACTGGAACCAACCAGTACGGGTGTCATATGAGGAAATATGGTCATGACTCGTGTAGGGGCTCAAACTTTGATCCCTGATTGAGAAGCAGACACATTTTGCACCCTTTAACTGGCATCTACTCTCAAAAACAAGCTTCTTTAATCATTTGTAAAAATGAAATCAATTGCAACATGGTATACAACATTCAGATATCAAAAGGATCTTTCCAATCATATGGTACATTTTAGCTTAAATTTCAACATACATTATTGGCAACCATTTTCTATTTCAACTAATACAACTCCTGCCAGTTCACAGAAAGTTATCATACATAATTTTTATCATTAACAATAGTTTCAATATAAATTGTAATCACAAACAAAAACTCAAAACAATTCAATTACATATTTTCCTTTAGGACTGAATCGGGTCAAAGTTGAGCATCTTCACAAGAATTCAAAATGGTTATGCAAGATTGAAAACAAGTCTTGAAACACAACACTGTGATTGGTTCAATTCAAATCTTCTATAAAAAATCAACCAATCAGACCTCTGAATTTCAGAATGGTTTTCATTCTCACAATTTTCCTTTTTTCTTCAACTTAACAATCAAAAGGAAATTATGAATTTAAATACCTTAACAAAATAGCTGTTACAATCAAACTTGTTCTAAAAGACCACTTCTAAATTGAGACCAAATATATTAAAGTCCTGTCAGTAATGGAAAGCTTCTTACTTTTTACATTAAAACAAGATGAAATAACCCATTTTCAAATTCCACCTGTCATTAAACACCATATTTTCTCATATTTCAAGATTGGCCTTTATACACAGGTTTTACTGTCCTTTATACACAAGTTTGACTGTAATAGTTTATTTCAATGAGCTTTTGGAGGAAGACATACTGAATGTGAGAGCACCTCTACATATACACTTAAGCTCGTCCACCAGGGTCTCGTATCTGTACGATGACCGGATGTCCGGAATATTGGTACGGCTTACGTCATTACCCAGCACTCCCTCTTTCATGTAATTCAATCCTAACCAATGCTGTTTTACCTGAAATAATAGCGTAAATTTGAAATTCCAACTGACTTTCATATTTTTTCTAAAAGCTTCCAAACCACACTGGACCATAAACTATATATACATGCTTAGGTTATTTAAATCACATTGTTCATTACCATGTACTCCTTTTATAAACAAATGTAATTTAATCTTTCCGAATGTTAGTTTTATCTAAGAATAAATCGTAAATTTGAAATTAAATATTGCTTAATTAAAAAAATTTGACCTATTTAACTATAATAATACTACAGAGCCACAATTGGCACACAATCTAAAAACATGCTCAATAACACCTGGTTCCACCTATATCATTTCATCAAGTACACAAAAAATCCATAAATTTAGTGACAATTCTATGAGAAAGTATTAAAGAAGAATTCAGTTACTTCCCTTTACTCATATATTTTATATAATTTTATCAGGACATTGGTCAAATTGTATTCACCATCAATTTCTTTTAAATATAATCAATCGATTAAGCATGGCATATATATTTAAAAGCCATGAAACAATTCAATCTCATAAACTTTTTTACAAAGAAATAATATCACAAATCTTTGTAAACAAAAAACTACTGTGGCTGTTCTTAATATTAAATTAGAACATAAACAATCTCCTGTTTTTTTTTTTTTCCAGCTTCAGGTCCACAAATGTGGAACCTCATTTATTAATAATTCATACAACCATACAACAGTAAATTTTCTTGTGTTTTAATGTGAGGTAAGAATATATGAGCCGCGTCACGACAAAACCAACAATGGGTTTGCGACCAGCATGGATCCAGAACAGCCTGCGCATCCACGCAGTCTGATCAGGATCCATGCTGTTCGCTATTAGTTTCTCCACTTGTAATAGTGTTGGTAAGCGAACAGCATGGATCCTGATCAGACTGCGCGGATGCGCAGGCTGGTCTGGATCCATGCTGGTCGCAAACCCATTATGTTGGTTTTGTCGTGACGCGGCTCATTTCTCTTTTTATTTTATCTGGGGAATTGTTCCAAAGAAAGTTGAAAAAATATAGTTTCTAGTTCTTATATAACTTTGTTTGATGGATTAGGAAGAGAAATAAACATATGATTGATTTTCGATAGAGCCATGGTTTTATTAACAGTTATTTTCCCGTACGGATTTAAAATTCTTTTAGACCTGATTGTTGGAGAAATAATTTTAAATCTTCTATTTTATCGTTATAGTTAAGACTTATTATATCTTTCAGATTAAGTGAGTATTGAATTTTCGAGAACAGTAAAAGTTTCTTTTTCCCAAGTCCGATTTTCTCCTATCTGAAATTCAATATTATTTCCTTTCATGCTTCCGAACCTGAGATAACTTTTCTTTTTTCTATATTAATGTGAAGGCCTGAGGCGTTAGCATAGAATTTTTGCATCAAAAGTGTATTCTTTAGAGATTTTTTGAACATAATCAATCTTGATGTTGTCTTAAACTTGACCTGTTATTATGAAAAACAAGTGAGCTTGTATGATCACTTATAGATATGGAGCATATTAGAACACAAGAATGTGAAAACAGGGTGAGAATACCTCTTCATAATTAGATTTTTTAAAGTCAAGGTAAAAATGAAAGGTCACAAGTGTTCACTTACATATGGCACATTAGAATACATGGATACAGATTCAGGATGTGAAGTGTACCACTCTATATACCTTTTCATAGTCAAGGTAAAAAAAACAAGAGGTCACAAGTGTTCACTTACATGTGGCACATTAAAATACATGGACACTGATTCAAGATACGAATAATACCTCTTCATATGCTTTTTTATAGTCAAGGTAAAAAAATGAGAGGTCACAAGTGTTCACTTATTGTATATATTGAACACATTAGAGTAGTAACACAAATCATAAAAGTATGAACATTTTCTACACTAATCATACAAGATAGATGCAGCACAATCAGAATCCAATTTGCTGCAGTTTTACTTTTTACCCTTGAATTAAACTCATATATAAAGCATACAAATGTGAATATCATTAATTAATTGAATTTTTTCTTCTGCTCTTGGACGATGTTAATTAAAAGTGTTTAAAGTATAAATATTATGGTAATTAATGGTGGTTAAAATCATGAAGATAGATATGAATATGCAAACACACACCCAGACATAAACAAAACCGGAAACTTATTAGCTGTACTCATATATGGCGGAGAATTATATTGATCACTGTGCACAACAACATTACATTTTATCTCTTAAAATTTAAAAGTGACATATTTTGCCCATAGTTTACAACCAGTGCGCAGAATTTATTTCAGTCATTAGAAGGCAGGTACTATTGGGCAGAAAACATTTCAGATACTTGTGGGCAGGAAATATTTCAGGGGAAATTAAGACGGTAATTCCTGTTATATTATATTCCCGGAATCATTGAATAAACAAACATGACATTACCTCATGTGGGAAGCCACTCTGTACCACACTGTTTCTAGATATTTCACACATATCACATGTTGACAACTTCCACACTTGTGCAGCAATACTGTATTCTTCCATCAGAGGTTCCTGTAATTGTAATATTATATTCATTAATGGATTTAGGACTTGGCCGATAATTTTAGGACTTTGTAAATAACTATAGGACTTTATCAATAACAATAGGAATTCTTCATAACTATAGGACTTTTTCAATAATTATAGAACTTTGTCAACAAGTGTAGGAATTTGTCAATAACTATAGGACTTTCTCTTTTAACCATAGGACTTTGTTAATAACTATAGGACTTTGTTAATAACTATAGGACTTTGTTAATAACTATAGGACTTTGTCAAAAAAATTAGGACTTTGTAAATAATTACAGGACTTTTTTCAATAAGAAAAGGACTTTGCCAATAATTTTAGGACTTTGTCGATAGGACTTTGTCAATTTCTATAGGACTTTGCTGATAACTATAGGTCTTTGTCAATAGTTACAAAACTTTGTCAATAGTTACTGGACTTTTGTCAATAACTTTAGGACTTTGAAAATAACTATAGGACTTAATCAATTATTGTAACTTTGCTAGTTACTATAGAACTTCGCTAGTGACTCTAAGTCTAGACAAAAATACAATGTCAGACCCTTTATTGACTAGACACTCATCCCTTCACAGCATTAGACCTGTGATGATCTCCTTAGCATGACACCTGATTGCAGTAATTGGAGTTAAGCAGCTATTGCACTTAGGTGACAAGCAGTGCTTGCTTGATGGATTACAGTTATGACCTTTAACCAATGCTGGAAAAGATCAATCTCTTATTTAAAACTAGAACTATCACTAAATGTGATTAATACCCCCACAAGTCTGCTTGTCGAAAATGGGGATGTTACTTGTAACAGAATACCTTGTAAAAGAATTGAAACATAGAGTTATGGTTGTGGGCAATTAAAGATAATTGTGGTTCATGTATGTTGCATTTCCTTTCAATGTGGTTGGCCATTGATGAAGTTTAATTGAATTACTCTGTAATAAGTCCAGAAAGACACAGAAAAAGAACGAAGGGCAATAACTCTATAATAAGTCAAGATGGAGTTATGGTTCTTGTGCACTGCACTTCCCCTTATTGTGCTTGACCATTGTATGAAGTTGTTTTGAATTCCAACCAGTAGTTTTAAAGTCATGCTCTGGACAAGGAAAAGAAACAAAGGGCAGTAACTCTGTAATAAGTCAAAATGGAGTTATGGTTCTTGTGCACTGCACTTCCTCTCAATGTGCTGGACCATTGTATGAAGTTATAATGAATTCCAACAATTAGTCTTCAAGTTATGGTCCGGACAAAAGAAAGCAATGGAAAAGTAATAAAGGGCAATAACTCTGTAATTACTTTAGATAGAGTTATGGTTCTTATGCACTGCACTTCCTCTCAATGTGCTTGACCATTGTATGTAGTTATATTGAATTCCAACCATTAGTCTTCAAGTTATGCTCCGGACAAAAAAAGAAGGCAATTGAAAAGCAACAAAGGGCAATAACTCTGTAATTACTTTAGATAGAGTTATGGTTCTTGTGCACTGCACTTCCCCTTATTGTGTTTGACAATTGTATGAAGTTGTTTTGAATTCCAACCAGTAGTTTTCAAGTAATGACACGGACAAGGAAAAGTAACAAAGGGCAATAACTCTGTAATTAGTCAAGATAGAGTTATGTTTCTTACGCACTGCCCTTCCTCTCAATGTGCTTGACCATTGTCTGTAGTTATATTGAATTCCAACCATTAGTCTTCAAGTTATGCTCCGGACAAGGAAAATGCAACGGACAAAAAAAAAAGCAATGGAAAAGCAACAAAGGGCAATAACTCTGTAATTACTTTAGATAGAGTTATGGTTCTTGTGCACTGCACTTCCATTTATTGTGTTTGACAATTGTAAGAAGTTGTTTTTAATTCCAACCAGTAGTTTTCAAGTTATGCCCCGGACAAGGAAAAGTAACAAAGGGCAATAACTCTGTAATTAGTCAAGATAGAGTAATGGTTCTTGTGCACTGCACTTCCTCTCAATGTGCTTGACCATTGTATGTAGTTATATTGAATTCCAACCATTAGTTTTCAAGTTATGCTCCGGACAAGGAAAATGTAACGGACGTCTGGACCGACCGACCGACCACCGGGTGACTCCTATATACCCCCCCAAACTTCATTTTTGGGGGTATAATGATAATAAAAATTGTACACCAACCTTTGTAAAGTGAAATTGAAGAGGATCATCGGTGGAAAGGGAGACATTGAGACCTCTAGCAAAATATTCTGGCAGGGGGTTTCTATGATAGTTGAGAAACAAAGAGTTGTTACTCAGTGGTGACATAGCCAATCCAATCTGTGACAGGTAATACAGGTATTGTAACACTGGTACCTAAAATATAGAGAAAAAATATTTCATTCATATCAAATGTTGTACATGCACTTTAAGGTTTTGAAATATAGCCAAACATGAACATTAAGGTCACTGACATATTCTCAATGAACTGGCTTTGACATTGCTAAGTAAAGCTTCATTTATGTTGAGTGTTTTTCAACTGACCCATATTTTTTTTGTTAATATAGCTTTACCTTCAATTATTATAAGAGTAATGTTTACTTTTGTAAAATGTACATAAAGAAAAAACTCAATTTTATATGTGAGAAGGCAAATGTTTGGTCATTTCTTGGTAGTCAGTCCATCTAATCAGTAAATATATGACCAGTATTGACCAATATTTCCTCTAGTGACCGATTGCTCATCCCACATGATCCTGAAATCACTTGTAGGAGGCAAATGACCATTAAACTTTTATATAACTTTAGCCTAGTATACAAGGTCTCTTCCCAATTGAATTTTTCTTTGAAATCATGCAGTTTTCCCAAAAAATCTGAACTTATTCCATCATTTTTACTTCCCATATTGAAAATTTTAGTGATAATTTTTCTCAAAATCAAAAGGCTATGACCTCTTCCAATTTAAGTGGGAGAAATCACTGACAACATTTGCAACAAAAAAATACCTTTCTGAGCATCAGACCATGTGATATGTTCTCAGCAAACATGAACGCTGCTACAAGATGGGTAACATTACCCGCTTCTCCACAATGTGGCCGCAACACAAACGTGTTCATACCTCGTTCTCTGTAATACACAATGTTAAACAGATGAACAAACATGATTTTCATTTTTTTTCATAAATTGGACATTTTATTACCTAGCATTGCTTTGGTTGCAAAAAAATCACAAATTATTCATATTATTTATTCAGCATTAAAAAATGATATAATTTTACTCAGGGTAGTTTACTGGTATCTTGGGAAAAACTTTTTGAGAATCGTGCTAAAAAATTAAAATGTGAAAATTAATAAACAACTAGAGGATGCTTTTGTAAAAAAGCGCATGTCTCCCCCACTGCTGAGAATAACTGTGAATGGAAACAGGAATGGAAATGGAGATAAGATAATGTAAATACCCGGTAGTCACTTCAATGAAGGCTGTCTATGGATGGTTTCTATTGTTAAGGTTGTATGAGAAGATGCTTCCTAAACTGTTTGTTTTTAACCAGGTATTCAATTTTGAAAATCCTGGTTATTCAATCAGCGTATGGCAGGCGGGCGTCAAACGAAATTGCACTTGATGGTCATATCATATATAGTTTCACAAATGAAATTAAATGAAATTGTGTCTGCTCCATAATTCTTCAAACCTTTAAAGGATTTTGATGATACTTGAAACAAACGTTCATATTGTCAGATTTTTTTACACTATTGAAAGACAACTCAAATTACAATGTATGTAAAATCATGATAACTGTAGTGTGTTGGGATGACTCCACTCGTTTTCACAATGAAGCCTCTCTGGTAGATACTTGAAACAACAAGAGGGCCATGATGGCCCTGAGGTCGCTCACCTGTATATAGCCCCCCCGGCCAATTTTTACCCAAGGGCTTTCATTTGAACAGACTTGGTAGACACCCATAAGAAGATGTTTCATGCTAAACATCTTAAGTTCTAGCTCATTGGGCTTTTTAAAAGAAGATTTTTTTAAAGTTTTTACTATACACATATAGTTAAAAACAATGACACCCCTGGGGCCGGGCCAGTTTTGACCCCAGGGCTTTTATTTGAACAAACTTTGTAGACACTTACTAGAAGATGTTTCATGCTTAATATCTAAACTCTAGCTATTTGAGTTTTTTCAAAGAAGATTTTAATTTTTTGCTTATACACATATAAAGAAAATCAATGACCCCCGGGGCGGGGCCAATTTTGACCCCAGGTCTTTTATTTAAACAAACTTTGTAGACACTCACTAAAAGATGTTTCATGCTTAATATCTTAACTCTAGCTATTTGGGTTTTTTCAAAGAAGATTTTTTTAAGTTTTTGCTATACACATATAAGGAAAATCAATGACCCCCTGGGGCGGTGCCAATTTTGACCCCAGGGCTTTTATTTGAACAAACTTGGTAGACACCTATTAGAACATGTTTGATGCTAAATATCTTAGCCATAGCTCTTTGAGTTCTTTTAAAGAAGATTTTTTAAGTTTTTACTATATGCATATAGGGAAAATCAATGACCCCCGGGGCGGGGCCAATTTTGGCCCCAGGGCTTTTATTTGAACAAACTTGGTAGACACTTATTATAACATGTTTCATGATAAATATCTTAGCTCTAACTCTTTTGGTTCTTTAAAAGAAGATTTTTTAAGTTTTTACTATATGCATATAGGGAAAATCAATGACCCCCTGGGGCGGTGCCAATTTTGACCTCAGGGCTTTTATTTGAACAAACTTGGTAGACACCCATTAGAACATGTTTGATGCTCAATATCTTAGCCATAGCTCTTTGAGTTCTTTAAAAGAAGATTTTTTAAGTTTTTACTATATGCATATAGGGAAAATCAATGACCCCCCGGGGCGGGGCCAATTTTGACCCCAGGGCTTTTATTTGAACAAACTTGGTAGAACACCCATTACGAACATGTTTCATGCTAAAATATCTTAGCTCTAGCTTTTTGGGTTCTTTAAAAGAAAGATTTTTTTAAGTTTTTACTATATGCATATAGGGAAAATCAATGACCCCCCGGGGCGGGGCCAATTTTGACCCCAGGGCTTTTATTTGAACAAACTTGGTAGACACCTATTAGAACATGTTTGATGCTAAATATCTTAGCCATAGCTCTTTGAGTTCTTTTAAAGAAGATTTTTTAAGTTTTTACTATATGCATATAGGGAAAATCAATGACCCCCGGGGCGGGGCCAATTTTGGCCCCAGGGCTTTTATTTGAACAAACTTGGTAGACACTTATTAACATGTTTCATGATAAATATCTTAGCTCTAACTCTTTTGGTTCTTTAAAAGAAGATTTTTTAAGTTTTTACTATATGCATATAGGGAAAATCAATGACCCCTGGGGCGGTGCCAATTTTGACCTCAGGGCTTTTATTTGAACAAACTTGGTAGACACCCATTAGAACATGTTTGATGCTCAATATCTTAGCCATAGCTCTTTGAGTTCTTTAAAAGAAGATTTTTTAAGTTTTTACTATATGCATATAGGGAAAATCAATGACCCCCCGGGGCGGGGCCAATTTTGACCCCAGGGCTTTTATTTGAACAAACTTGGTAGACACCCATTAGAACATGTTTCATGCTAAATATCTTAGCTCTAGCTTTTTGGGTTCTTTAAAAGAAGATTTTTTAAGTTTTTACTATATGCATATAGGGAAAATCAATGACCCCCCGGGGCGGGGCCAATTTTGACCCCAGGGCTTTTATTTGAACAAACTTGGTAGACACCTATTAGAACATGTTTGATGCTAAATATCTTAGCCATAGCTCTTTGAGTTCTTTTAAAGAAGATTTTTTAAGTTTTTACTATATGCATATAGGGAAAATCAATGACCCCCGGGGCGGGGCCAATTTTGGCCCCAGGGCTTTTTATTTGAACAAACTTGGTAGACACTTATTATAACATGTTTCATGATAAATATCTTAGCTCTAACTCTTTTGGTCTTTAAAAGAAGATTTTTTAAGTTTTTACTATATGCATATAGGGAAAATCAATGACCCCCTGGGGCGGTGCCAATTTTGACCTCAGGGCTTTTATTTGAACAAACTTGGTAGACACCCATTAGAACATGTTTGATGCTCAATATCTTAGCCATAGCTCTTTGAGTTCTTTAAAAGAAGATTTTTTAAGTTTTTTACTATTTGCATATAGGGAAAATCAATGACCCCCCGGGGCGGGGCCAATTTTGACCCCAGGGCTTTTATTTGAACAAACTTGGTAGACACCCATTAGAACATGTTTCATGCTAAATATCTTAGCTCTAGCTTTTTGGGTTCTTTAAAAGAAGATTTTTTAAGTTTTTACTATATGCATATAGGGAAAATCAATGACCCCCCGGGGCGGGGCCAATTTTGACCCCAGGGCTTTTATTTGAACAAACTTGGAAGACACTCACTAGAAGATGTTTCATGCCAAATATCTCAGCTCTAGCTCTTATGGTTTTTTGAAAGAAGATATTTAAAGGTTTTTCTTTCGGTTGCCATGGCAACCAGAGTTCTGCATGGAATTAAATTCTTTGAACAATTTTTAAAGGTGACCACCAAAGGAACATTCCTGTGAAGTTTGGATGAAATTGGCTTAGTGGTTTATGAGGAGATGTCATTTAAAGAAAAAGTTTACGGACGACGGACGGACGGACGGACGCCGGACGAAAAGTGATCACAAAAGCTCACCCTGTCACTTTGTGACAGGTGAGCTAAAAATTCACCACATCCAGAGAACGTGTAGAGTACATGTTTCGTATGGCTGGTTCCAAGGTCAAGGTCTACTTGACACTTGAATGTCATATCATATATAGTTTCACAAACGAAATTAAAGGAAATTGTGTCTGCTCCATAACTCTTCAACCCTTTGAAGGATTTTGATGATACTTGAAACAAACGTTCATATTGTCAGATTTTTTTACACTATTGAAAGACAACTCAAATTTCAATGTATGTCAAATCATGATAACTGTAGTGTGTTGGGATGACTCCACTCGTTTGACCTACTGACCCCAAAAACAATAGGGATCATCAGCTCAATAAGACCATTCATCCTATGAAGTTTGAGGGCTGTAGGTCAAAAGGAACTCTAGTTATCATCCGGAAACGAGAAATTGACCAACGGTCACTGTGACCTTGACCTTTGAACTACTGACCCCAAAAACAATAGGGATCATCTGCTCAATAAGACCATTCATCCTATGAAGTTTGAGAGCTGTAGGTCAAAGGAACTCTAGTTATCGTCCGGAAACGAAGGAATGGACGTACGGACTCGGACGGGACAGACTGACGGACACGGACAGGGCAAAAACAATATGTCTCCCCCCAGTTTGAGGTTGTAGGTCAAAAGGAACTCTAGTTATCATCCGGAAATGAGAAAATGACCAACGGTCACTGTGACCTTGACCTTTGACCTACTGACCCCAAAAAACAATAGGGATCATCTGCTCTATAAGACCAATCATCCTATGAAGTTTGAGGGCTGTAGGTCAAAAGGAACTCTAGTTATCATCCGGAAACGAGAAATTGACCAACGGTCACTGTGACCTTGACCTTTGAACTACTGACCCCAAAAACAATAGGGATCATCTGCTCAAATAAGACCAATCATCCTATGAAGTTTGAGGTCTGTAGGTCTAAAAGGAACTCTAGTTATCATCCCGAAACGAGAAATTGACCAACGGTCAGTGTGACCTTGACCTTTGACCTACTGACCCAAAAACAATAGGGATCATCAGCTCTATAAGACCAATCATCCTATGAAGTTTGAGGGCTGTAGGTCAAAAGGAACTCTAGTTATCATCCGGAAACGAGAAATTGACCAACGGTCACTGTGACCTTGACCTTTGAACTACTGACCCCAAAAACAATAGGGATCATCTGCTCAATAAGACCATTCATCCTATGAAGTTTGAGAGCTGTAGGTCAAAAGGAACTCTAGTTATCGTCCGGAAACAAAGAATGGACGGACGGACGGACGGACGGACTGACGGACGGACGGACGGACAGGGCAAAAACAATATGTCTCCCCCCGAGGTGGGGGAGACATAATAATGGAATCTTCATTATGTAAATAAGTAAAAGCATATTGTGATAAACTGGTAAGTTCCCGAACATTTTAAGCTTATCAACATTACAGAGAAAGTGAAGCGGTGGCCTAGAGGTTAAGTTATCCGCAACTCAGGGATCATGGATTCGAGCCATAATCGGGTCACAACCATGTTTCTTCATATGACACCAGTACTGGTTGGTTCCAGGAAGTGGACTCTGAAGTGATTAATATAAGTTGCAAGAACTTGTTTGGCAATCAAGCTAAAATAAATATGTTTAAGCCCATAGAGAAAGTTATAATCCCACAATCTAACTTTCTGAAAAAATTCCAAGGTCCAAAAACACAGAATACTTGCTCACTTGAGCTTAGTATGAAATGATAAATTTAGTTGACTCTTACCTTCTGAAATGGTTAAGGACCACTAAATTAGCATACATGAAGTAAATGTAGTAGCTGTATGGAGGGTTTTCCACTTGCGTCCACTTGTCTGGCATCGGGGTATCGTAATCAAACCTGATATGTTCAGTCTTTGACTCATCATCAACTGAATCTAATCCTGTCACCTTTTATAACAAAGGGAGATAACATTGAATTTATGTATGGAAGGGAGAAGTTATTAAACCAAAAATATTTCACCATAATAGCTACTACTCTCTGATTAATCATAAAAGGCCAAGGGCCAGTAAAAAGACTTAATCTTGTTCGAAACTTATATTCTTTACTATGGTTCTATAAAAAGGATTGAAAAGTTGCAACTGTATGTTACTCACCATAATTATAATAAAGGGGGAAATTTGTTTTAACTCATAACAAATGATGTCCTGTTACCTTCTAAGAAACCTCGACATTAACAATTAAAAGTCAATCACAAATGATATAACATGATGCATGAATGTTTGATACTAACAAATGTTAAACATTCTAAACAATTTCATCAAAACTTTCATGAATTGTATAAAAGTAAAATTTAAACCCAAAACTACAGTTTAAACAATGAGAACGTTGAAAATGATGAATGTTCCCAAAAGTATCATCTGCGACTAGGGAAGAAATGTGGTAAACATGAAGAAAAAATTAATGATGAATTGTGAGTGTAAATGATATAGAGAAAAAAATCCAGAAAGCCACAAACACGATAGTTTATTAACCTGTACTTTCAAAATTCGTTCAAAATGTGTTTAAAATGTAAATAACGCCATATCAGCTATATTACATTATATAATATTTAAAATATCACAGGTTGATTCTCCAATAATGTATCTGAATCCTTAAGTCTGCTAGTTGAGACTTTGTCAACCCATGCAACCAGTGCAGACCAAGATCAGCTGGTACATCCATGCCATCTGATTATAGTCTGCACTGTTTGCTGATCAGTCACTACATACTTTGAAATTTTCCCTAAAAATGATGAATGGTTTTGTCAAGAATGAAAGATGGGCAAGTTCACTGAAGAAATTTAGTGGCGTTAATAACGGTTAATAAAAACATTTTAAACATTCAAAATGAATTGGTTAGAGTTATATGTCTGGGACTCTGACCTAAAATCATCAACTTCAATACATGTGTGAATTTTCTTTCAAGTAAAAACTGTCTGTGGTTAAAGATATATCAAACTGCACGCAAATACTGAACCAAGTGTGAAGTTAAAACTCACACTAGGGTGAACAAGATAGCCCAAAATTAATATTTTTTAAGAAGTGTCAAACCCGAAAAATGTAAATTGAAGGATATACTGAGTGCTTACATGTTGTAAGAATGAATGAAGTTCTGGGTGAGATTTGGGATCACTGGTGACTTCAAACAGTGGCATGAACAGGTTTTCCAACAGGTCCTGAAAGTTGTTCACCAGTTTATTCGTCTTGTACACATCGCTGAAATCATTGAAATATACATAAATTAATAATAACTTGAAAGCATTACTTAAATTATGTGTCAAATTTGATCCATTGAACTTCTATATCAACTCAATAATCTTTCACTTATTTATGTGACTCACTCATAACATTTGTAGACAATTTGCTCATAATTGTTGACCACCACGACTCATTGAGAAAGCCTCACAAACAGGCACCTGTGCAGACAACACCAACCTTCTGCAAGATAGCTTAATAGTTTCCTCACAGGAAAGAACCCAAAGTCCCTGAGGGGATTCAAACCTACAGAGGTGAGGGGCTGGTGGTTTTAAGTCAACAACCTTAAACACAGGGCCATGAATACCCCCACATGTTTTGTATTTTAATGGATGTTCACAATTTTATTCAGATGGCCATTATTCTCTCTTTTAAAAAATCATTTCATTTCAACCGTGTATCATATTAAAAGTGAATACAATGCTAATTGTATTTACTGAATTGTTAATGTAATTGCTTTCAATATGATCCAAGGTTGAAATAAACTAGTTTTATATCAAAAGAGCACAATATCCAAATGAATCAAGTCCTATCATGACAAATTTCAATTTCCACCTTCATTCTTTTGATCTGACAATTATATAAAACAATTTATCTAAAAATAATATAATTAACATTTAGAAAAGATGAAGGTCGTTTTTAAACACATTTTCTAACTTTACTTACTAGAGGCGAGGAATTTGAATCAGCCATCGTACATTATCAGAATACACCTTGTTGTTTACCGCCCACTTTGCAAGTTTGTCCCACTCGTCACGAGACTTGCCGTATATGGACAAGCGCAGTTCGGCATTCTGGTATTTACTCTCTTCCAAATCTTGCATCACTTCCTGTAGAACAAGAATTACATCACAATTGAAAATTAAGTGAAACTATAAAAAGTAGAAAAATACATCTGTCTATATCCATATCACAAAAATTTAACTTGAAGTTAGAAAATTGGACCTTGTAGGTAAAGGTCATGAAGGGGTCAAAGTTCATAATATTTTATTTCAATATAATAAAATAAGAATGTTCTACAGATAAATAATGTGTAAATTTAGCACATAAAATGAAGGTTTCATAACCAAGCTTAAAGTTATTCAGAGAGACTGACAAGAAAAAAATAATGTTCAAAAAGATAGGTGTCAATTAAATTGAACCCCAAAAAAATATAGCTTATGTAAATACAAAAATAAATACAACAACTTTTTCACATTACTTTTGATTACTGTACACAGAATTATCATCCAGATTTTGAGCGTTAAAATGATTAATAATTGTACATGGAGACATAGTTTAGTGTATATCAAAGTGCTAAAAATAAACCTAGAGGTTGCTAAATTTCTTTTTTTGTTACGTTCATAGTTGGCAAAAGTAAACATCAAAAAGAAATAAAGAAATAGATATTAAGGACTTAAATCTATTGAAATACACATGTATGTTGGTATTAAATAGCATATAATATGATAAAAGATACATCAGACCAAGGTATCTGTAACATATAAAATAGATCCTATATACATAAAGCATGCTTATTTAATTACAAAATCTTATCTAGGTAAAATCATAGGTAAACATCAAACAGATTGGGGAGTCATATTATACTGGCTGTAAATCATGTTACATATTGTATTTCAAACTTTGATGACTTCTTTCTTTCTTTTTTTGATGAGTAACATAAACATTAAGAGTTTCCTTTATCAATCTGACAATCAGATTAATCAAAGTTAGAGGAAAATGGAACAAGTGGTTAAAGTTGACAAAGTTGCTGCCTCCCAACCCAGGAGTTCTGGGTTCAAGCCATACTTGGGCCATGATCATGGTTTAGTATACCAAACTTCATTACTGGTTAGACCTGGGTAGCCGACCTCAAATTGCATCTTATAAGCATGAAACTTTAATTACATGTATAATATATGCTTAAAACATATTGAAATCCTTTTGCATAAGCATGGAAAATTGTGAAATCAAATATGAAAATTAGCAACAGCAGTAAGTCATTGGGTAAAATTGCATGGTATTTTTAGCTTTATAATGTAGCTTACATCCTTACTCACATTTCTGAATAATTTTTCTGTGAGTTTTGGTTTGGAGTCAAACTAACACTATAAATGATGATATACCGGTATTTTAAAAAGTGGTAATTGAAAGTAAAGTCTCTATTTCATTAAGTAATACCTTCATAACTTGTGCGTAATATTTTCCATTGATATAATTGTCTGTCTTGATAAATATCTCTCTAAGCCTACTCTCACCAATAGGGTTGTACTTAGCATTGAACTTGTCAAATCTATGGAACGTATTCCTGTCCTGAAATTACAATAAAATAATCAAGCACATCCATCATAATTCTATATATAGTAACAAAGTTAAATATAGAAACAAGCATATGGAAATTTTCTTAATAAAAAACAAAAGAGATCTTATTTAAAATGTGTAGACAACTTCATTTTTTCTTAATACACTTTCAAAGTGGCACTATTTTGAAGTGAAGTAATTCTAATAAAATAATTTTATGGAACATGTTATACAATAAAAAAACTTAATAATTCAAGTATCACTTACTGCATGTACATCTAGTAAATCCACACTCAGATCATAGGGCTCAAGATTTATATACTGGAAAACCTGAAAAGAAGATTCCACGAGATCTAAGATTTATTTCATATACAAAACATAACCTGAAGTAATAATAAATATTTAAAATATCAATTATACCTTTTAGTACTGTTTCAAGCACTTAACCTGGTGAATTTTCTGGAAGAACTAGTCTAACTTCCACTTTGGAATATTTCATTATCAATTTGTAGGATATATGTACTTGTAAAATATGTACTGACTGAAGAGCAAACCGTGCAGACCATGCTCAGATAGCACTGAAAGACCCGCTAATCTTGGCCTGCCACTGGTTGTATGGGTAAAGTCAGCTGCCGCCAGCAGGTCAAGGCTTATATTCAAGAAGCCAATTGTTTAAGAGTCTTGTCATAATGCATAAGACACTTGCTGACTTGCCAGGCTTAACTTAATTTAAAATGAAAATAGATTTTAGGTGATTTTTAGCCTGATTTACTTTAAAAGCATCAAGCACTAAGTCTTCGTTTTGGTTCATTTTGCACAATTAAAACAATTTTAACAAAACAGAGTAAGCAAATATGATCTTGAACTTTGAGCCCAGACCTACATCTAATGGTACATAAAATCTCAAAAATATATTTCTAATCCAGTCATGTCAAAAATAGCTCAGTGGAGTGCCTTTTAAATATAATTTTCTTATATATACCTCTTTGAGTGTCATAACTTTGCCAGTTTTGTCCTTGCACACTTCTTCATCAGGACTAGTTCTCATCGTCTTCTTGATAAACCGCAGCAAATGTTTCTGATTCATACACGAAGATGCGTGAACGTGGGTATCCACCTGCCAAAAAAAAAGCGAACTCTGATATATGTCAAACACAGAAAATGAGCTGTGTAACGATAAAACCAACATAATGGGTTTGCGACCATCATGGATCCAGACCAGCCTGCGCATCCGTGCAGTCTGATCAGGATCCATGCTGTTCGCTATCAGTTTCTCTACTTGTTATAGGGTTTGTAAGTGAACAGTATGGATCCTGATCAGACTGCGCAGATGCACAGGCTGGTCTAGATCCATGCTGGTCGCAAACCCATTATGTTGGTTTTTTCATGACGCTGCTCAAATGTTCTTTCGTCAGAACTCATTTCTTCCGTTTATCATGTAAGTTTTAACCAATATTCTTAAAACTGAAAACGGTAGTAATTTTAACAAAATGTAACTTACAGTTATGTCACTTGAATGCTTTCTGTATTGCATTTTTCTGTAGGAGTTTACTTACATGCAATAGCATGAAAGCTATCCTTTTCAATTAAAGCCAGTGTCTCTACCAATCCCTTATTTCTTCAAAAATGATAAACTGAGCAATATCATGAATTAAAAAAAAAAAATTGATTTGGACTTTCCAAGTCAAAATGTCAAAATTAAACCTGGATATACATAAATAATTTTTTTTTTCATTTTTTTTTCTTCACCAAAAGAGTGCAAACTTAAAACCTTTAAAAGTTATTCATTTAGATTCAACTTATCAACATTTCTTAATTCATTTTTACAGTCTGAAGTAAGCTTATTAATTTTGCTATTTTTTTTCCATGACAATCTGTTAATATTTTCTTCTTAATTTGTCACAAGTAGATTTATATGCGTGATAAATTTCACGTTTTTTCCACCAAGGAGTTGCATCTACTATGGAGAAAATAACCACTCCTTTAACCATGATACTATAAACTTACAGAATTTAATTAATTAGCAAACTTTTAATTGTACAACAATGTATTGCATAACAATAACACCATCTGTGTACATAGATATGGAATGAAAATTTGATATTTTGTATGCAGATATATAACTTTTTCTCAGAAAGGAAAATATATTTTATACCGTATCAAAAAAAAAAGAGTGTTCTTCTTTAAATACTCTTCCTTGTGTTTTTGTCTTTAAAATATGATTTATAGGGCAAAAATTAGAAAGTTTGCATTCCTTTAAAAAAAAGAAGCACATTACACATATATCAAAATCATTTGACAATCATGGCTACATGTAACTTCTGCCATGGTAATATATGAACAAACTAAAATTAATAAATATAGTTTTATCACATTTAAAAAATCGAACCATTTGTCTGGAAAAAGAAGGAAAGACATTTTCACTCCATCTGTGATAACTACGAGGGTTGTCCAAAAATTCGTGCACTGCAGTAATTGTCGTAAGAGTTATTAATAAAAACAAATGAATTATATATCACTTGAAGGGGAAATATGTCTCAAATAAGAAAACAAAAGAAAAAGCCGGGTAACTGGCATGTCGTGTAACAGAATGGTCATTAAGTTACCTTAGTAACGTAATACCGGCGCACGGCAAAAAATTGGGTTTGTTCATTACTGTAATTGTATTAATTGTTTGTTGCTTGTAAAGAGGCATTTGTTTTTTATGTTATTATTTGTTTTACTGTCAAAAGAGGAAAGATTGATGCAAAGTATGTTGTAGTTTTTATTGTTCTTATGCAAAGTACATGTAACTATCCCACCAGTGAACGAATATATTGGACAACCCTCGTCACATAGTCCGGCATTATGGATGGACGTCTGCCTGACCGGTTGTCATCGTCTACCGACTCTCGCCCTTCTACAGAGCGTTTGTGCCATTTAAAAACCAGCCTTGGTGACACTGAATTTGTCCCCGCTTGCCCTAATAAGTTCTTTGTAGGTATTTGTTTGTGTTTTACCAATATTTGCACAAAATGTAATGATCGTCAGTATTTCGAGACGTTTAGCGACTGACATTTTTACGTAATTACAATATTGACGACCTCACACAAATGTTTGTTTACGACATTACAATAAGGCAAATGACGTAATATTTAATAGTGACGTTTGGAATACGTACACATACTTTTCCCTGGATTTTAACGCTTATTTGTTGTGTTTTAAGAATACCGTGATGCATCAAAGTAATGAACTAACCCAATTTTTTGTCGTGCGCCGGTATTACGTTACCAAGGTTACTGTATGACAATTCGTTTTCACGACATGCCGGTTACACGTTTTTTTCTTTTGTTTTCTCATTCGAGACAGATCCCCCATTCAAGTGATATATAATTAATGTTTTTATATCAATAACTCTCACAACAATAACTGCAGTGCAAGAATTTTTTGGACAGCCCTCGTAAAAGCTTCCAATGAAAAAAAATTTACATTTGAAAGGGGGAATAACTTGTCATAATTGTTAAACTGTTATAGAAGTCTTAATTCAACTTAAGGCTTATGTGAACATTTCAGTTATTGTCAGTGGCGTAGCTACTATTAGGCCCTGTAGGCCCGGGCCTACAAGTTGGTCAAGAAAATGACATTTTCAAAAGTCCCAAAAATACAATAAAAACAGGAGGGGTGTACGTGGTGGTAGTGGGTTAAGACGCGTGTGGTCTAAAATCAAATGTTTTATTTGCCTCTAAGGAAACATTATATTTCTTTGCTCGGGTGGCCTACCTATGTTCCATTATTTCTGTGTTTGTAACGCTTTATTTGTTGTACAGTATAACATATAGAACGATTACAGTTGTCCCCCTTCATAATGACACTTACGTCATAGCGCTTTATCGTCAAATTACATTGGTATCCGTATGAAATGTTTACATCGGAAATGCCGGTAGTTTTAAGGCGGCATTTTTTCAAAATGTCAACTGTTTTATGTGATCCTCCTTATCGTGATGTTTTCACAGTGTCTGGTAGACTAGCTGACTTAGATGAAAATGACAAACTGTCGTTGCTTTCAAAACCTTGGAATGATGCTCATAAATATAAGTTCCCGTCCAGGTCAGTTGTCTTTATGTGAAATCTGGTAGAATACAAATTTATAAATCTAGTAGAAAATGGAAAAAAAATGAAGTAATTAACATGTATTAAGGCCTATATTACAACTATTAGGATTAAACTGAATATCAGAATTCTTAAATATAAAAAAAACAAAAACAAAAAAATGTGACCCGCACGCAATAAAACGCTGTTAGTCGATTTCCAAAGTATACTTCGAGCAAAAGAAAGCACATCACAACAAACAAGTGTGCATTAATTTTGATATGTCTATAGATCTATATACGAAAGTGCGCATTTTTTCTATCTTTTTTTCTATTTGGTTAAACGTGATTTTTGGTTATACGTGAAGAAAGTTAAAGCTTGTAATATATATTTTCCCCCGTTTGTTTTAGATTTATCGGTGGTAAATTACGGCATTTCAACGAGAACTGGTTGAAATCTCATCATTGGCTGGTTTACTCGGTTTCCATGGACTCAGTCATGTGCGCTCCATGCCTGATCTTCAGTAACGGGAAGTCAAGGACTTTGTCATCAACTCCATTTAATGACTGGAAAAACATATCAACAGTGTTGGCCCGCCATTGCGTAGATGAAGTTCACAAGAATAACATCGTCATGGCAGATAATTTTGTTGATATTCTTAATGGAAAGAAGGAATCTATAATATGCAAGTTGTCATCTACAGCGAAGGAGACAGTGCAGCATAATAGGCACATACTAGCCAAGATTATTCAAGTTGTGCTGTTGCTAGGGAAACAAAACATACCTTTTAGGGGTCATACTGAAGAACGGAGTAATTTTATGGCAGTGTTGCAGTCTCATGCACAAACTGACCCTCTACTGGCAAACCACCTTCAGCATGGAAAAGATAACGCACGATACACTTCCCCCGAGATTCAGAATGAGCTGATAAGCCTCTGTGCTGATCAAGTAAGGCAGCAGATAATTTCTGAATGCAGAAAATCTGATTTTTTGCCGTGATGGCTGACGAAGCTACTGACTGTTCAACAAAGGAACAGTTATCGATATGCGTGCGTTATGTTGTTCATAACGGTGAACAGTATCAACTCTTTGAAAAGTTTATCGGTTTTGTCACCTGCAGTTCTATTAAAGGTGTACACCTGGCAAACGAAATTTTAGACCACTTGCAAGGCTGTGGACTTGACATTTTAAAGTTACGTGGTCAGTGTTACGACGGAGCAGGAAATATGGCCGGAAAGTACAACGGTGTTCAAGCGTTAGTGCGTGAGCGCGTACCCCTTGCTAGTTACGTGCACTGTAAATCACACTGCCTTAACTTGTCAGTAGTACACACATGCAAGCTTCAATGTGTTAGAACTATGATGAAAACAGTGCAAGACATCGGGTTTGCATTTTCTTACTCAGGGAAGCGTTTGGAGGCTTTTGTTACAGAGTTGTCCGAAGACCCCGTCACACGTGCTCAATTAGAAGGTCGACAGAAGCTCAAGACCCTCTGTGAAACGAGATGGATGAGCCGTGCAGATGCATTAACAACTTTCAAACAGGCATTTCCAGTTGTCGTTCACGCCCTGGAATCTCTTGAGGCTGACAATGACGATAAGGCTGGGGAGCACGTGCGTGCTATACTGCGATTTTGATTCATCATTACTCTTGTTACCTGCGAACACATCCTCAATATCCTTGTTGGACTGACTGGAATACTTCAAGAGGTTACTGTATATGAATGTGTTCGTTATATTATCGTTAGTAAAATTAAAGGCCCATATAAACTATGATTATTTCTACAATGATATTTATATTTTGTATTCCTGAAAGGTTTATCATTTACGACGATATTTTGCTCTTCCTGCCTTTCTAAACTTAGTACATTTTCAGTGATTAAGTGTTTTTGTGTGGAGTCAAAATACTTCGTTGTATACATTTTGCTACTTTTTATGACAAACTATTTAACATAATGTGATGCTTTCTAAAGGTAATAAGTGTCTAACATCTTCTGAAATTATTACATAAAATAGCATAGAACTCATGTTTTCCCTTCTTAAGAAAAAAACAACAACATTTATTTGTTCTGAGGCATAATGTGCCTTTAAATAATTAACATATAGAAAATAAAAAGCTCCTACATTGATTGTACTGGTATTGAAACCCGTTTGACATCTCTGTCTTTATCTTATATTGTCATTTATCATTTATAATATTTTAAAAACTTATTACTGGTAATTATAATCATAATTGGTATGGTAACTTTAAAAACAGCTTTACAAGAAGACAGCATCTGTAGCTTCTTGATATAACTTAATGGATTTTATCACATACCCGTATCGCTTTTGCGACTCCATAATCATGATAATGGAATCATATTGCCGTGCAAATGGTTGTTTTTCACTTTAAACACTGAGTCTTTTTTGTTTTTTGTTTTGTGTTATGTTTGTGATAATTAGAATATTAAATTCTTGTAAGTTCATTTAGAGGCTTGCAAAATATTATCTTATTGAGCACGTTCAATTAATTCAGTAGTACTCATACACTCAATCAATATCCTTTAATTCTGACTTATTAGATCTCATACATTTCCAAGATCGTCAAGTGAATATCACAATTGTCATGCGTAGGATTATTCATTTTTCCTTACAGGTGAGTATGGATTTGTTAGAGGCTGTACGTGAAGCCGGTGTTGTGGTAGACATTCTACGTGCAGAACGACAGGACGATGCGGTGTTTGATGCAATTTACCAGACAGCCGTGGACATAGCTGCTGAATTTCAGGTAAAATATCAGAAAATCCTTATTTATTGTTTAATGGTATATAAAAATGGTAAAACGATTCAACCACTATTATAATAAATGCCTATAAAAATGAGATCTTCAAATTTTTAAGACCGATCAAATCCCTCCATATAACAGTGCATTTGTTTTATGGCCAATTAGTAATAAATATAGTGCTTACTAAGCCTTATAACCTTATAATAGTATAAGTTAACTAGTTGACCTTTGACAGAAGCAGCACGTGTATTACGAACATCACTATGATAAAAACCACAATTTATTTTAACTTTAAGGGGATATTTTATATGGTACATGTATACGAACGCAGTTACCACATACATCGAAAATAGTACAATCAAATTATTTTCACAATTATTGTTTGTGTTTGTACAGATTGATGCAAGTGTACCGCGTCAAGCCGCCAGACAGCGCCATAGAGCCAATTATCAGATTGGGGATCCAAAGGAATACTGGCGAGTATCTTTATTCAACGTTTTCGTTGACCATCTTGCCGAGGAAATTAGTAACCCGGGTGATGAGCAATCATGATCGTTTTTGTGCACAAATGCTCATGCCCTCAAAGATCAGGAACCTGAATGATGGACATGTAGATTCTATATTCACAAGCTACAGCCAGGATAGGAATATATCGAAAGAAGTGTTTCAGGGTGAAATTCGATGCTGAGAGGGCGCGGTGGAGTCAAGATGACGGCAGACCAAGGCCATCAACTCTTCTGTCTCTACTTGACAGCACTCCTAAGGCCGCATATCCTGGTATTCACAAAGCGTTGTCAGTATTGCTAACAATGCCGGCTACGTCTGCGTCCTGTGAACGCTCATTCAGTTCTATGCGCCGTATCAAATCTTACATGAGAAGCACGATGACGGGTGACAGATTGTCCGATCTCGGCATTCTTCATATCCACAGAGAAATTGATGTTGACGTTGATGTTGTAATCAACAAGTTTGCTTCTGTTAAATGCAGAAAAAATGGACCTTATCTAAGATGCACCGATGACCAATGGTAGGATACTACGTCATCCCGCACCTACAAAATACTACCAATCGAATTGTTATCTCGTCGACTCGAAGACAAAATTTTGTTTAGGAGTCCGAGTGGGAGCATTTAGAAAAAAAAACTTTATCCGTTTTCAGGTCTAAACTAGGCAGTAACTAGGCACTTATATCAATTACTTTAAATAAAAACGCTACATTCTTATTATTTTCTAACGATTTCTTGGAATACAAACATATTTTATCTTCGACTCGACGGGATATTTACACAAAAAAGCCCGATTGAGAGCATTTTACAGGTGCGCGCTGACGTAGCATTCTACCATTAATGGCTTATACATGATTTACCATGCTCGGTAAAGTTTGAATACTATCAAATTCATATTTTAGAAGTATTGTTTTGATAATTGTCCTTGGAAATAGATCTTCTTTGGAACATACATTTTGCTCCTTTTAATCTCAACCTGTTTCTGCCTTCTTGGGGGCTTCGCCCCCCCAGACCCCCTTACCAAGGGGCAACCGCCCCTTGGAACCCCTTTCATGGGCCTACAAGTTGACAAGTGCTGGCTACGCCCCTGATTGTCATTCACTCGGGTGGAAAAACCATGATTTCATTTGGTAAGTACATTGAATTTATAAAAGTTTGTATATTGTACCATGAATATTTGTGCATAGGCAGGAGGCCATAAAGTGAATAAAATATTTTTATTACTTGCTTTTCGGTGGTTTATAGAAATATATCCGTGATATAAAACTGGTAATTTCACTGTTTGAAACAGTGAAATTACCACTTTGATAATTTCACTGTTTTGATTTTAAGCCCCTTACGTTGTTAGAGTGAAATACCAGCATGCACAGTACTGGGTACCAACTTAATGATGCGACGTTGTAAGTGACATCTCGTTGTATTATTATTTGGCACGCTTTTCATTCAGTATTAGGTTTAATGTATTTTAAAATGTTTCTTTGCATATAATAAAAAGAAAATTTGTTTAGTTTAGTGTAAGATCGAAATATATTTCACCTTGTGAACACCAAAAGTTCATATTTCACTCGTGGCTGCGCCACTCGTGAAATATACCTTTTGGTGCTCACTCGGTGAAATATATTCCGATCTTACACTGAACTGAACAAATATCCTCTATATCATTGTCAATTATCATTACATATTGAACAACCTGGACCAAAGTATGTTAGTAATAAATAGGATAATTCTATTCATGACATGGACTATGCAGTAAGGGGTTAATCAAATGTTAACACAAACCTTTCTGATATTGTAAAAGTCTCTGTGTGGAACTGTCTTCTGGGCAGCTGACTCTTTCAGTTCATTCATCAGCACATGCAGCTGAAACTTGGCCGATAGGTAACTCAATCTCCGGTAACAAAACGATTTTCTGTAGGAGAAAATACAGAATATATAAAGCAACCTGATTCACTCTCAACTTAAATAACTTGACTGGCTATATTCATGAATGAGCCCATCATCTGGTGATAATTATCTTCAAATGGTGATTAAAATATTACGTCTTTTTACACTATTGCCAGAGTTACGACCCTTGACATATGTTATGTGGGTGATAATACAAAACAGGTGGTTTCAGTTTCCAGAAAATAGAAATAATTAAGTATAGTTTGGTGGTTATTAGTAGGGCATTTAACAAACTTAAATTGGTCAAAAGTGGCACTGTGGCTCAACCAATTTAATATTGTAATTGCTTATTTATAAATATATGTTAACCAAATAATTGTTTAAAATTAATTTTATGAATAGTCCATTTACCATACTGATCAAATGAGGCAGATAGTACAAAAAAAATGCATTCAAATTAATTTGAAATACTGTAATTCTATAGGACATAAAGTATTTTCAAACACCAAGATGAAATTTTAAGATTAAAACAAGGACAGTTTGTCAAATACAGATACCACAGTTATGAAACTTTGCATATATAAAACAACGTCGGTTAACCACGGTATATATTCTGCACATACTAGACAATGTTGTATGTACAGAATATAAACCATGGGTAACCAACGATGAATATAATGAGGGTAATTAAGTACTAACAAAAACATGTATTTGAAGTTTGAACTAGACATAAATACCAAGGTAAGTTTAGATGCTTACTATATTTTTTTTTTATTATCTTAGTTGAGTTTTTAAAAAAAAATGCTATACAAAATGCATAGTTTTTGTGAATATTACAAAAGAGAGAGAAATAGAATCCCTAAAGAAAGCCAAAAAACGATAAAATTGAAAATATTGCAGGCTTGGTTTGATTAAACTTGTTCATGGACGTTACTGGAAAGTTGCAAGTTACCATCCATGCCCCCCTAGCACCTGCTTAAGCAGTATTCAACATATAACATGAAATGGTAATTTTTTTATTTTTTTTTAAAGATCCTGTAATATTGTTTTGTAATTGTGGTTGTATACCACACTTGCGTAAAATTATATATGTATATAATTATACTAATACAACAATTTTCAAACATCATAGAATAATTATGTAACATACGTACTGCAAATTTTTGTACATAATAAATGAAATCATTAAATTATATGCATTCATTTCTTATTAGGAAATTTGACTTAAAATTTATAGAAAACAAATTTCTAATTACATTGTACCTCCCTTTATTTTCATGAAATATTAAATTCGGTAATATCTTTATAAATAATGCTTTTTGGAACTTACAATATTGATCACTCTTAATTTGAGCATCATATTTTTTATATAAAACTTTAAAAAAAATGTGTTACAGGATCTCCTCAATCTCACTTACAGTGGGCCATCCATGATAAAACAGTACATGATATTCTGATCTTTCAGGAATGATTTAACGTCACAATACGGCCAGTCTAGTGGCTGATCTTTCTCCAGTGATTCTTCATTCTTGTATACATGTACCACACCTTCCTTCATCTTAAACGAGCAGCCTACACTTTCCTGATACTCAATCCTGAACGGGTCGCCACTCATGGGTGGGGCATTGATTGGGTGTTCTGTTGAAGAAAAACAAGAAATTATATTTAAAAAAAATGTGAAAATAATAAACGTCTGGTTATAATCTAATTTTTTCCCCATTACAAACCTTCCTACTCAGCTCAAATATTTTATATAAGATTATATAAAGAAACGTGACATTCATGTCATAAAGCATGTAATAAAAATTAAGCTATCATGTCAGTTACATAATAGTTGGTCATTTACAATACAAAGTTATATAGGTTTTTTTATAATCTACAGACTCTCGGTCATATAAAAAAAAAATATAACTTAACTATACTACTAAATTTCATATTTTTCATCAAAAGAAAGAAATTCTGATTAAATCGTGCAGACTGTAACATGAAAATATACTATCAACAACTATAAAACTTGTATTATTGTAAAATAAACAAAAACTTTTAAAATCTTTCTGACACTAAGTCTTACAATTTATAACATATTCTAACTGGTAGTTCAACTCTTAACCTGCTGTAACCCAAAGTGATTACCTGTATTGCCACCAGTATAGAGCCAGGCTAGCCTGCACACCCGTGCAGTCTGACCAGTACCTATACTGTTGATAGCTCAACTTTGTATCTTAACACTGAAATCCCTTAAACTTTGAATGGACTGTTCCAAATTCAAATCAGGGCAAATCCGTTACACAAATTCTGCAGGTTAAAGGTTAATAAAGGCCAAATATAATATAAAATTTACATTAAAGTATTGCTATGTGTGTTTGTTTTAGTATTCAACTTTTGAAACTACAGTATAAACAAACAAGAGGGCCATGATGGCCCTGAGGTCGCTCACCTGTATATAGCCCCCCCCCCCCCCAAACCAATAAGAAGATGTTTCATGCTAAACATCTAAGCTCTAGCTCATTGGGCTTTTTAAAAGAAGATTTTTTTAAGTTTTTACTATACACATATAGTTAAAAACAATGACACCCCTGGGGTGGGGCCAGTTTTGACCCCAGGTCTTTTATTTGAACAAACTTTGTAGACACTTACTAGAAGATGTTTCATGCTTAATATCTAAACTCTAGCTATTTGGGTTTTTTCAAAGAAGATTTTAAGTTTTTGCTATAGACTGTATATAAGGAAAACCAATGACCCCCGGGGCAGGGCCAATTTTGACCCCAGGCCTTTTATTTGAACAAACTTTGTAGACACTCACTAGAAGATGTTTCATGCTTAATAACTAAACTCTAGCTATTTGGGTTTTTTCAAAGAAGATTTTAAGTTTTTGCTAAACACATATAAGGAAAATCAATGACCCCCGGGACGGGGCCAATTTTGACCCCAGGGCTTTTATTTGAACAAACTTGGTAGACACCTATTAGAACATGTTTGATGCTAAATATCTTAGCTCTAGCTCTTAGAGTTCTTTAAAAGAAATTTTTTAAGTTTTTACTATATGCATATAGGGAAAATCAATGACCCCCTGGGGCGGGGCCAATTTTGACCCCAGGGCTTTTATTTGAACAAACTTGGTAGACACTCATTAGAACATGTTTCATAATAAATATCTTAGCTCTAGCTCTTTGGGTTCTTTAAAAGAAGATTTTTTAAGTTTTTACTATATGCATATAGGGAAAATCAATGACCCCCTGGGGCGGGGCCAATTTTGACCCCAGGGCTTTTATTTGAACAAACTTGGTAGACACTCACTAGAAGATGTTTGATGCCAAATATCTAAGCTCTAGCTCTTAGGGTTTTTTAAAAGAAGATATTTAAAGTTTTTTCTTTCGGTTGCCATGGCAACCAGAGTTCTGCATGGAATTAAATTCTTTGAACAATTTTTAAAGGTGACCACCAAAGGAACATTCCTGTGAAGTTTGGATGAAATTGGCCTAGTGGTTTATGAGGAGATGTCATTTAAAGTAAAAGTTTACGGACGCCGGACGGACGCCGGACGAAAAGCGATCACAAAAGCTCACCCTGTCACTCTGTGACAGGTGAGCTTAAAAGTGATATAGCAAATGTTATTTCATCCAGGGCAAATCTGAACAAGGGTCGAACAAACTGTGATTATTCTTCTGCAAAGCAAAAAATAAATCCATATCCTTCTTTTTAGCCACATCAAAACGTTTATCAAACATTAACAGCTAATTACTGAACCAAACAAGACCCATAATATGCTTAATAACTTTTTTTATCACAGTAAATAAAATTTTCAAAAACTGTAACTCACAATCTTGCATTGTATTTATTGGTCAGGAACAATGGGAGAAAAAGTGTTTTTTAGATAAAAATGATGTATGATGGTAATGGTTGGTAGTTTTCACTCCAGATCACAGCAGTAAGCCACACTGAAATTTACCAAAGCACAGTTCAGCCACTGCATCATTCCTGGGCATGCTGTCAAGCAGTTTACCAGTACAAGTCCAGCAAGGAACTGATAACTTCTGTACATGCCAGAATAGAAGTAAAATGCGAATGACCGTATAAAGGCTTTAATGATCAACTTCAATGAAAGTGACCTGCACCATAAGGTAATCAAACCTTGGTCGCCCGATTCACAGTCCAACACTCTACCTATTGAGCTAACGTGACAGCTTAATTGTGCTGCATTTCTGCCCTAAATTTTATATTCTTTAAGTCTTAACAATTCTTTACTTCTAAAGGTTTACAAAAACATCCCTCCTCAGTGTAGAGGACATAGCAATTTTCAACTGGTCTGAGCATTGGAACAAAATTATAGAGGTTTGAATATGTGATAATGCAATACAATATTACATTAAAAAATAATCATCCAATATCAATGTCAACACAGGTAAAACTTCAGTCATGATTTATAGTATTTATCTAAAGTCAAACACAAACAAACTGAAAATATGGTCAACTGGCTGCATTCCATGCTTTCAATAACATGTCAGTCAGAAAATCAGGGTCATTATTTTTATGTTTTGACTGACTGGGTTTTACGGCACTCCGACACAGTATAGGTCATATGGTGATATTTTCAGCTTTACTGGTGGAACAAGACCTCAGGTGCCCTTTTGTGCATTATTTTAGGCACAAACCCTAGACAGGGCACCTGAGAAGAACCACAGGCCTTCTGTAAGCTAGCTCAGAGGGTCATTATTAATATTTATATCATAATACCTGTAAAACCTTTTTAATGACATTTAATACAAAAATTGCTCTTTCTGGTAAAACAACACAATTAACTGCTCAACTGAGTAAAGAACATTTCTGTTGCTATAGTAACAATAATAAAATGCAAATCAAACAATCACACTTCAAACTTTTTTATTTATTACAAGGGTTACCAAGCAATGATTTTAAAAGTACAGAGATGAATAAAACCAAATTGGTTTATTTACTGAGATGAAGCTCAATTTCAAAGACATAAATTGTCAGTGAAAAGTAAACATATTATGCGTTCAGCTTTAAATTACACTCTGGAACAGTTACTGTCTCACAAAATTAAATCATAAATTTTGTGAAGTATATTAAAAGACATATAGGACGTAGGATGCAAGTACATTGTTTAATAAATCTCCATATTAAAGCACTTGATATCAATTCTAAAAGAATCCAATTGGATGTATCTATCTAAAGCGTTAGAATTATATTCTAGTTCTATTTAATATAATATATTATATTATATTTAATATCTGTCAGTCACAATTTTTTCATTATTTCTTAATTACATAATTACTTAAACTTAATTGATGCTCAAACTAAATGGCTGTCATTTTTTAAAGATTATATGATTTTTTTTTCTTTCTCAGAACTTTCTGGAGAATTAAAATTCCTGTAAAAATTTATTCAGGATCCAATATATTAAGTCTTAATTCATACCATATTGTTACCTTAGTACAATAACTGGTTAACTCCTATTAAATTTAGAAGGACTTAACCTGTTACTGCATCAAGGTTATGATTATATACCCATATCACAAGATCATTCATATTTTGGAATTAAAAAAATTTTTTTCTAGCTGACTGAAATGGGAACAGAATCAACCATAGTCATAGGGTTTACATGTACCAACTCAGATGTTGGCGTGCACTAGTTGTACAGCAATGTTGTGTATGTTAAGGTTTTGAACTATCCTTCAGGTCTATAACAACTATCCCATCAGTTATTTGCATATTGAAACTACTTATAATAGAGGCTTGGTTTAAATTATCCTTAAAATATCATTCAATCTTAGCACATAAATCACTTTTATTAAATTAACGTGAATATACCTAGTTTCCTTTTGAATTGAGGAATAAAATGAACAAATTTAAAATTGACAATTTTTCTGGAATAAATTCTAGTAAAGCATGAATATTTTCATAGAACTTTTTTTTGTAATTACATATTGAGCACTAAATTAACATTTTCAAATAAGATATGTGAAAAAGGAAAGCGTTGTCAAGCCATCCACGAAATATGTAAACACTGTATAAAAGTTTTTTTCCTCGTATCATAAAAAAAGATAATAAAATTTATATAACTATCTAAATAATACATATAATTAAAGAAACATGTAGGATGGCTGAAGAATGGGAAAAAAAAATCTTTTATATTATAATCTTTTTCTTATAATTTATTACCTATTTCTTTTAACTATCTGAATAAAACTGTTTATGACAATGCACATATATTTGTTTAATTTATGTTTTATTAAAAAAAAGAAGAATTGAAAAGGTTATTTATTACATTGATGCCCGGAATTTAAATAACAGAGAAAGTTTTCCTTCATTCATATGATAAATAGTTCTAAATGATTTATTAACTTTTCTTATACTGGTTTTATAAATTATAAATTTCCGTCTTTGATTTTTTACTTTTACTTTTTTTTAACAATCCACTGTACTGTTCATTGAAATTTAAAGCAAGGAGTTGGATAAAACTGTTTGTTAAGCCCTTGTTGACCTATTGGAAACATTAGATTACCCTTCGTCACCAGCATAGAGAGCCAGGCCAGCCTGAATATACCTGCAGTCTGACCAGGCTCTATACAACTAGGTGTTCAATTTTGTATTTTGATATTAAAATCTGAATATGATAATTAGTTTGATACAATATTTCAAATCAAATTCAAAGCAGACGCAAATTCAGCCAGTTAAGGATATATATTATTAGAGTTACAACCAGTCCGGTCAAGCTACACAGATTTATTGAGGCTGGATTTAGATCTGTAACTCTATAACCTGCTAAATAGCTTAAATAGACTTGCCAAGCATCCATTTTTAAAACTGTTTATTATCAATTTTGGGGATATCAAGTTGAAAATCGAAAGCGCCAGGTCAGATTTGCACAGATGTAAGTGTAGGCTAGTCTGGCTCTACACTGGTGCAAAGGCTAATCACATTTTGGTGCCTGGCAGGGTTTGGGCTTAAAAATTACATTGGTATACGAAGAAGAGATCTCTGAATTAAGCAGTGAAAACAAAAAAGAAACAGAAGAAAATCAAGGCTTGGTTTGATTGAGTTTGAAATAACATCTCTCACACTCCACTGAACTTGATTAAGCAGGATTTAATCCAATGATACCAAAGAACCCCCAAAAGCATAACAGCATTGAGATTCAAGTAAAAGTCTACAGCTGCCACACCAAACTTAACACATTTTTTGTAGTTTTGGGAAAGCTAGATACAATGAGAAAAGTGACAGCAAAAATGAATACTGGTAGGTGAAAATCACAGACTATGTTCATATTTTGAGCAATGAAAAATACCATATCTATTGCAAGAAACTGTTATAGCGGCTAATTGCTATTGAAAGAGTGAGTGAAAAGCAGTGACTGTGAGTAAATCTACAAAATCTGAATAATCAAAAATGAATAAGAATTCAAATTCAAGTACTGGGTGCTTTTCCTTGCTAAATATATATTTATCATCATAAAAAGAAATGTACAAATTTTTTTTATCAAAAACTGATAAAATTTTACTTTTTTTCCAGACATTTTTATAATTCAGTTTATATCTATATTCATGAATTACACTTAAATTAACAAACAATACATCATTTCTGCAAAATACTGTTTGGAGGAATTGAAAGGAATTAAGTAAAAATTGTTTAATACTAATTATAGTGGCTGATTCTTTTCATATCAGCATATCTTTGTTTCGAAGAAAGCTAAAATTTTCAACAAAAAAAGAGAGTAGAAATTCATCAATATCAAAATTTGGATGCATCCTGAATTGACATATTTGTTATTCTGTTAAAAGTGTTGACAAACAAAGGAAAAACCTGACAATAAAACATGTCAACTTGTTGGTAACCCTGTAATAATTCAAATACCTGACTGTCTTTTCATTTCTGTAATATAATAAATAACACTTTGCACATATCTATCATACACACAATATAATATAATATCATCATGCAATACACTTAATAGTTACCTAAAATCTAGACTAAAAGGAGTACCAAACCTAAAATTTATATGACTATGAATAGTCACCAGCAAAAATACATATTGGCAACTAACTTAATATATATCACTGTTAGTAATTTTATTTTTTGGAGGCCAGTGGATTACAGAAATTTCTCTATTCAAGAAATAAAACCCAATATAAGGTGTAAAGCACCACTTAAAACGGGTCTTCTGCTCTATAAGTCTCAAGCGAAAGAAATTCAGTTGAAGTTGCCGCAGATTGAACTAGTTATTCCTGGCCGGATTTTAAGTCGACACTCAGCCGAGGGCAAAAACTGATCTTATGCACATTGTGCACATCAGTTCCAACTTATTTTAATCTAGAAATGTGTAAGTCTACAGACGGACAGCCTGAAAGCATGACATGACAGCAGGATGGACAGACAAGGGCAAAGCTAAGATATGTCCCCAAACCTCAAGTTGAGCATAAAAAATTACAATTGTTTAAAAAAAGTCCTTGAATTCGTAACATTATCAATCTTCTAATAATATAAGTATAAATATAATATCTAATACAAAACAACAATAATCTTTAAAATAACATAAACAATTTTAACTGTGACTGCTGTAAAGGGATATTATGGCACTCCTGCCTGTTAGCTCAATAGACTATGTGGTTTAAGCCTTATGTAGCATTTGCAATGAGAACCCTGTGTGTAACATTTTTATGAACTCTGTGTCAGCACTCACTTCCATCATCAGACTATGACCCTTAAGTAAATTGGTTTAAGTTCTGCCTTAGCATTTGCCCTTAAGAACCTTGTGCCAGCTGGTTTGTGCGCTGTGCTAGCCAGCTCTAGCTTACATTAATATTAGCCACTTAGTTGCAGTGAACAAGGCACATTTTTTCCATTGACACAATATATCTAATGCTTAGTCCATCCTAAGTTTTATAATTAACTAGAACTATCACTAAATGTGATTAATACCCCACAAGACTGCTTCGGAAATGAGGATGTTACTAGTAACAGAATACCTTGTAAAAGAATTGAAATATAGAGTTATGGTTGTGGGCAATTAAAGATAGTTATGGTTCTTGTATGTTGCATTTCCTTTCAATGTGGTTGGCCATTGATGAAGTTTTATTGAATTACTTTGTAATAAGTCCAGAAAGACAAGGAAAAGGAACAAAGGGCAAAAACTCTATAAATACTGAAGATGGAGTTATAGTTCTTGTGCACTGCACTTCCTCTCATTGTGCTTGACCATTGTATGAAGTTGTTTTAAATTCCAACCAGTACCTTTTAAGTTATGCTCCGGACAAGGAAAAGTATCAAAGGGCAGTAACTCTGTGTTTTGGAAAAATGGAGTTATGGCTCTTGTGCACTGCACTTCCTTTTAATGTCCTTGACAACTGTATGAAGTTGTATTGAATTCCAAACAGTAGTTTTCAAGATATGCTCTTGACAAGGTAAAGTAACAAAGGGCAATAACTCTGTAATTAGTCAAGATGGAGTTATGGTTCTTGTGCACTGCACTTCCCCTTATTGTGCTTGACCATTGTATGAAGTTGTTCCAACCAGTAGTTTTCATGTCATGCTCTTGACAAGGAAAAGTAACAAAGGGCAGTAACTCTGTAATAAGTCAAGAAGGAGTTATGATTCTTGAGCACTGCACTTCCTCTCAATGTGTTTGACCATTGTATGAAGTTATAATGAATTCCAGCAATTAGTCTTCAAGTTATGGTCTCGGCAAAAGAATGCAATGGAAAAGTAACAAAGGGCAATAACTCTGTAATTCCTTTAGATAGAGTTATGGTTCTTAAGCACTGCACTTCCCCTTATTGTGTTTGACAATTGTATGAAGTTGTTTTGAATTCCAACCAGTAGTTTTCAAGTTATGCCCCGGACAAGGAAAAGTAACAAAGGGCAATAACTCTGTAATTAGTCAAGATAGAGTTATGGTTCTTGTGCAGTGCACTTCCTCTCAATGTGCTTGACCATTGTATGTAGTTATATTGAATTCCAAACATTAGTCTTCAAGTTATGCTCCGGACAAGGAAAATGCAACGGACGTCTGGACCGACCGAACGACCACCGGGTGACTCCTATATACCCCCCCAAACTTCGTTTTTGGGGGTATAATAATTTATGTACACTAAATTGCAGGAGAACTAACTAACACTTAGAGGCTTATAAGCTTAAACAGAATATGGCTCCAATTAGGGTCTTAATATGTTACATAGAATCATTAAGGCTGACAAGTTTGGTTCTGCATGTATGTTTATGAGTTCTTATTAAAAATTATTGTTAAATCTAGCACTTAACAGGACAAAATGAATCAACCTAAAGATGGTAATCATAAGGCAATAGGTCAGCCAGATTAAAGAATATTTAAATTCATATTCTTGTACAGCATGCGATGACATTGTTGTAATAAATAAATGATCTCTGTGTGAATGTAGTATATAAATAGCCTAAAATGACAAGACATGATCATTTATCAGTTTAATTATCATGTGCCATAATGTATGTAAATAAATCAGAAAATTCTAACCAGTCATATTGCTTGTAGTTGCCTGACTCAGATGTTAGAGAAATTTTTTACAGTAGACACTAGACAGATAAATCTGCATCTTCATATAAAACAATAAAAAAATACATCATGCATGAATGTAAAATAAAATTTTTAGATTTCTACATATTACATCATTTTATGAAATTTACAGATGAATACTGATAATAACCTCATCATAGCTATTATGAAGAAAGTCCCTATGAGTTACTGGACTTTAATTTGACTAATGCCTGTATTTATTCTCTACCTTTAAAAATCCTTAAATAACCAACATCCCCATCCCATTAAAATCAATGCTGATGACTTTCTCAAGATTGAAACATTTAATTTATTCCTGAGACATAATGTGCCTTTAAGGTCTCTTTTTTTTATCTTATTTTTGTTTTGACATTGCAATAAAAAATTGTATTATCTTTACTTTGTTTATTTGTCTTCCGTAACAGAATATGTTAACATGTTTTACATAATAACATGAAGTGAAAAAAGCACCCATTTGTTAGTAATTTCTGCAATTCTTAGTTAATTATCAACTGAGGTGAAAAATCTTAGTGGCCTTTTCACTAACAAATCATAGTTATTCCTTCTTATTTTTACATGAACTTTATGAGAAATCTGATTAATTACATTCTAAGAATAAAATTTCATTAAGAAATTTTTTGCTACATATTATTATAATCCTTCTTACAGGGGAACAAACAAAACAAGACATTAAATGACAATATGCATACAAGTATATTAGAAAATCTTAATTACAGATAATACTTATAAATAACATAATATAAAACTCTTATTAAATCTTCCCATTAAATGGTAAACCTCAATCCCACAGGGGCTCATCTGCTAATAAAATTTACATCGTTCCCCGCATATTGAAGATTTGTAATTATTTGGTAAAATAATAAAACATCATTCCAATATCTTCTTATGAAAGGAATATAAAAATATATTTGACATGGTGAAAAATTTGTTCTATACAATCTTTAATATCAACAGCATCTGTTTATATTAATACAGGCTTTTTATTTCCTTGTCAACAAAAAGTATAGAAAAACTATCATGGTTAATTTTTTTTATTACCAAAAAGTAGGACAAAATAGGGATTTGTTATTTAATTAAGTGGGAATATAGAATGAATTTTTTAACACTTAAAGAGTTTGGTATAACTATAATAATTATACTAAAATCAAAGCATCAAGTTGTGACTTTCATAAGTTGTGACTTTCATTCAAACTTGTATTAAAAAAGCACCTTTGAAGAAAGAATATTAAAACGTCAAAAAATCATGACTGTTCGGAGGAAATTTATACACCTTTCTTATCAATTAACATTGTAAAGTTACATCAATATTTATCTTATCTTAATTAAAACATGTATGCCTCCTTAAACTGACCAAATTAAATTCACACTGGTTTAAGAATAGACATTAAATTTGATTGGACTATTTTGAATGTACTGTCTTTAATGTACCAAATATCTACAATGCCATGTTATATCATCACAGTTAGATTTTATCAAAAACAATCAAGGTAATATAAGTTCAAGACTTATTAGCTAGCTAGTTGCATGAAGTGCCCCTAAAATAATGAATAATTTAAAGCTTTGTTTTTTTTGTTTTTTTTTCAGTATTTATGTATTTTTGTTGTTTTTTTGTTTTTTGTTTTTGTTTAAGCTTAACATCACACCAACACAGAATAGTTCATAATTATGGTGACTTTCTAGCTTTACTGGTGGAGGAAAACCTCAGGTACCCTTCTGTGCATTTAAGAGAGTTATAAAAAGAAAATATCATTTTTACATTTATGACTTATCTATTTCTTTGCTCAACTGAAATTTTTATCTAAGATTACTATATTTCTATAAGAACAATATATTTTGCTCAACCAAACATTTTTCAGTTAAAATATCACCTTACTGTGGTTGAGCAGCTTTAAGATTGATAATACTAAAGTGTCAGTCAGTCACTAAAAGTAAAATCATTTTTGACATTGATTCTTGTTTCTTTTCCCATATAGTAAGACAACTATGTTATCTGTCAGCAAAATGCCAACATAAATACTGCCATCCATCACCTACCATGGTATTTAGAAAACTAGTAAGTTCAAGATCTACTATTTTTACATCAAAGTAAAAAGAAAAAACTACGGAAAAGAATGAAATACCATGCATTCAACTCTATCCATCTCTCAGTTTATGAAAAAAATGAATAATAGGGACATATTCATAGGTGCAAGTTCAAAATGTCAGAAAACCTTAAACACCCTGAATTTAGCATTATTTTACCTGGTTTTATATAGGAAAGAGTGCTTTCAGGAGTATGAAAAAACCTGAACTTCAGGCAAATGCCTGAAAACTGTCTTCCATGCATATCTTAATCCCTTCCCATGCTAAAAAGTATATAATGGATTTGTCCAGCTTTTATTTTGGAACAGTCCATTTTAATGAGAGGGATATCAATATCTTAAATCAAAATTTAAGCAGCCAACAGTGTATGGATACAGGTATGCTGGCTGACATGCCTCTATACTGGTAGCATAGGTTAAGCCATTATGAATGCTAAGTTAATAGATGTTATCTGGAAATCTGTAAATTTGCGTTATAGCTTCACTACAATAGATTAGTCAACCTGTTGCGCTTAATTTCGAAGCTGTAACTGTGAAAGTTTGTATTTACCCCTGGATTAGCTGGGAAAAACCCAAATATTCTTAATTCCGGAGTTAGTCTATTCACAGGATAAATTAGGGAATACTTGTAATATTTTCAATTAATATGCAAATAATAAATGCACTTATAAACACTATGACACCAATTAGCAAACCATGAAAGAAAGATGGTCATGAGCAGGAAGTCATTCACAGAAAAATCACACACAAAAATTGGCATACCACAGCTGGTACTCAATTAGCACGAAGAAAAGGCAACAACCACTGTTGAATAGTGATTAGCATACTGGACTGGCAATCAAGTTTCAGTCTTGGCTGTGGCCTGCAGATTTTTTGTGTGATTTTTCTCTGTATGTATGTGCGTGTATATATACATGTATAGACAAATGACAAGACAAATTCAACATATGAACATAGATGTAGAAGTTTTTTTCTAATGGCTTAAGCTCCATTGATATTACATTGACTTTAAAAAGAAAATCAGGCATATTTATAAAGAATACAGGCCACAGAGTAAATAAAATAAATGGACATATAAGCAGCATAAATCTTGAGCATTTCTATATTAAAGAAGTAAAACTATTTAAATGCCTAGTAACCATTTAACTGAGAGCATACTGCAATTCTCAGTGATAGCCAAGGAATTTTAACAGAAAAGAAATAATACATTTCATAGAAACATTGCTATATAATGCACACAACAGATGAAAAAAGCTATAATAAAAATTTAAACCATTTATTCAATGGGGCCTCATACCTTCTAAAACTTTTTTATCGGCCAAATCTATCCCCTCTGTAAGGCCTTGGAACTCTTCTTTATCTTCCAGACACTGGAGGAACCTTGCTGTAATCTTTGGAAATGTCTGCTGGGCCATTGCCATATATTTCTCACGGATCATCAATGCTTTGACGAGACTCTGTGAGGCCAATTCAAGGTCTTTTTGCGGCACCTATCCATGAAAAAATTCAATAACACATACATTGTATAAGATTTATATATTAACACTTATCATGACAGGATGTTATTCATTAATTTTTGTTGGTTTTTTTTTTAAATTATAGAAATTCTGATATATATAAAAAGTTTTGTACAAGATTAGAGTAGATATGAATCTGTTATATAATTTTTCTCTTAAAGTAATTCACCTCTACAAGATATACTAATATTTCAAAGCGAAACATGTTTTGATAAATTGTGATGGTTTTTGATCTTTTTATCCTATAAAATATCTCTTCAAAATACATAAAAATTGTTGAAATAAATTGAAATGTTGTTTTATATACAACAGTATTTTTTTTTTCAGTGTTATTTTTTTCTAGTACCACGTGACATTACAGGACAATATCCGGATGGTCATTTTAATAACAATTTTGTCAACTTTCTTTCCTGAGTTATGAAGTCAATAATAAAGGATTTACATGTTAAACCTAACTTACTAGACCAATATTTACTGTCAACTTGAACTTTACTCTTTTTATTTTATTCTTAATTTTTAAATCTGTTTTTTCTGGGACTTTTTTAACACTTAATTAGAATTTGCTTAATGCCATGCAAATCTTCATACCACTGTCCTTCAACATAACAATGGCACTACATTGAACATATATGTACCAAAATTTCAATAACGCTCGTACTATTTTATTGATCATTTAAAGAGACTTATTTGGAGGATTAGTAATTGTTGAAATTTTTCTACATGCTCCATGCATTTTCTCCCCGTTTTTATTCAGTATCATAAATTATCACTCAAAGCAACTGCAAATATCAGTTAAGCATCACAGTTTAACCCAATTTCAAAATATTAGAAAACATTGGTAAAACATTTCATGCATTAATCTTTATCATAACATTTTTAAACATGATTGTATAAAGGTTGGGTTTAAAGTAACTTAACATAATGTTAAGACCATAACACTGAAATTTACAGTTTTATAGGTTGGATTGTAAGACCATAGGTACATGCCTCTTCACACTAGAACAGCACTTCTGCATGTCGAGCCTTTAACCTTCAGCATTGTTTTTCATATTTACATCTTTACCTTTTGTAATTGCCCAAGGTCGCCACAGCCAAACCAAATATTTTCAAACAAACTTGAATTAATTGAAGGCAAATCTGATAGACTCATGAAAATGTAATTATCAATTGACCTCTCTCAAAGGTCAAATCAGGTCAAGTTCATTTCACATTATAACAGGGTAACTTGGTAGTAAACTCACCTGTATAGTTCACCTAAATACTACAGTTTACATCGTCACCAGTCAGAATATTTTCCACTGGCAATATCAGATTATTATTTTATAAACAAGCCAGATAAGCCTTTAGTAAACCATGTTTTAGTAAGCATCTGAGCAAAAACAATTATTCTAATATGTGCCAAACATGCCTTGACTTCATTTCAATACAAACATGTGGGAAAGGAGAGGACATTAAAGATGTACTGTGTACATGGCAGGGGAAATATAACTTTCACCAAAGGCTCAAACCCCACTTACCGGGCCAACAGTATGAATCTGTATTCATAAAGCAAACAATTATAATGGAATAATACAAATTCATCTAAAGATGAAGATCATATATTTTTATGGTCAAGTGGTTTAAGTATGTTAGTCAAGATATCTAAAGAATACTAAAAATGGCATGGGTTCAAACCCTGTTAGAGGCATGCCATTATTTCCTTGAAACTCATTGCGGTTCCAGTCTATAAGCTAACAGAGAGTGTGTCTATTAGTATAGGTTTCTACACAATCTAACTGAAATAAATTTTGAATAAACAAAAAAATTAACCAACAAGATTGCCTCACTCTATTTCGGAATGTTCTTTAATCCTTGCAAAGATGAATATAAAACTGCAAAGTCTTTGGACCTGAGTGCAGTTTATAAAAGAGAATCAATGTAAATGAAAAAAAAATTCATCTGAACTTTTATTATTTTCCTAATAACTAGAAATTTCAATACATATGTACCTAATTGTTTGGTAAATAATTTTGTAAACTTTAGAAACTATAGCCATAGATTGAAAAGTTTAATATTCTGTTTCCATAAATGAGGTTCCCTTATCATACTAACATATCTATCTATGCTATTTAGTGATAAAAAATTCTATATAAAAAAAGAAACTCAATAAATAAACTGGTAAGGCCCTCTAAACTAGTCCCCCTCTATCTGTATCCCCTCTAAATTCTTTTGTTTCCTCTAGTCTACTTCACCTCTCAACTGGTCCCGCTCTATAATGTAATGTATCCCCTTTAAACTGGTCCCCGTCTGTATCTCCTCTCAAAACTGGTTCCCCTCCACTTTGTTATGTATCCCCTCTAAACCAGTTCCCATTAAGTCGGCATGCCCTTTGTGGACTTCTATATACATTTATAATTAACATCTACTTATCCATTCTCATATCTAGGGGTTCCACTGTACAGATAAATACCTACCCCAGAAGTGTCTTCCCCGGTGATATGAATTCTTTGGAACAGGGGAGCATTGTCATACTCCTCTATAACTTCAGCTATCTCATCAAACTCATCCTCGATCTGGCTCGGAAAACGTTCAAGATGAGAATGCCCATCCCTGTCTCCACCACTGCCATGCCGGAAACTACCGGAACTGTAAAACATATAATCAATTCATTACTATTTGCAAATAAAACATTATTTAAATACCTTTATTGCCGCAGATGTCCATTCTGAAATACTAGTATTTTAACAATTTAACCTACTTGACTTTCCTACAAAAAAAATCAATTTGGTTACGATTTTTATGTACTTCTACAAAAAACAAAATTATTGAGTTGAAAAATACAGTAATTAATATTGTTAATTGGTAAGTTACCATGTATAGTTATAAACAATCTGAGCAAAAACATGCATTAAAGTTGTAAGAGCAGTTATGCTTGATAGTGTAACAAGAATTATTAGGCGGCAGTTTTCTAAATTAAATTACACAACAGTAAATAAGCAAATAAATGTTGCCAGAGGGACAGCAAACTTGACTATTCTCAGTGTTTAATAGGTATTTACCAAGGGACATAATTCAGTGTCAATACAAGTAAGAGTTATCTTATCCTAGCTAAAACTAGTTATAGGTCTTGGTCTGTCATCTACTATTAATACTGCAAAGACTTTCAGTGAAAACTATTAGTGGTTGTGAAAATTTAGGATGTTCAAAAAGGGGAATAGGGGAATAATTCATTTAAATCTATGTAAGAGTTATGTATCTTTATCAATGATCTATAATTACTGATATGATGCCAAAGACATGTCTGAAAAGGGACAGAATTATAGTCACAAAACAAAGTTTTCTGCCTAAAATCTGCCCTTAAGCTGTGGAATGTAATTCTAAGGAAATATGGCTTAAATTGCTTAGTATTTACACAAAGAAATTTTAGTTTACACCCCTCTCCAACAGTCTGCCCATCAGCTGACATTCACCAACCAAATGACCAGATTTCTTTCATTTTGCCTTTTATAAATCTGGTTATTAGATATATTTGAAGTTGGAGTACTTCATTGATTACAGAAAAAGAAAGGTTCTAGAAAAACCTTAACAAAGTGTAATGACACAGCCAATGTGGTGTGTTGGATTAAATCCCACATTCATTAATATTAACTATGAATATCCAATTAATAATATCTTGAATTTCTCCTAAAATTCTTGAATAATATATCAAATTTAAGTACAGATACCCTTTTCCTATGTTTCTCAGTAAATTGAAGGATCCGCCCAGGCACTCTTGTTTATGTTAACATCTTTTCTTTACTAAATTACAAATCTCTTAAATTTAAGAAAATTAAAGAATGCATATCTTGAAGCATGTCTTTATTTTTAATTGCATGAAATAAAGTTATACAAATTTAAAATGTTTATTGTATGTAATTATCATCTAATAACTATTTCAAGTACTTACATTTTAATAATTGCTGAGGATTCACAAAGGTTTATTTATCTACATTCACCAAGTAATGAATTTATGTATTGTAGGGGCGGTTCCAGGATTAGATTGGAGGAGGGTGGGTGCCAGGAAAATTCTGGATGCCAATAAGCACAGCTGAGCACATATGCAAATATAGCATGGCTGCTAGTTGGGGGTAGATATTATGGAAGGGGTCTTCCCTAAAAGTTGGCAAAGGTTAGGGCTCATCCGGAAGGGCAATTCAGGCGAAAACTTCGCCGTGTATATTCCCATTTCCCTCTCCCGATTAATCAAAGAGAAGTCAACTTCGCTGATAAAATCTTAATTCCCAAAGAGTAATTACTTGGCGATGCAAAGAGCAGAGATTGAATCCGCCCATATGACGACTGCTAATTATCATTATCCAATCAGAGCGTCGCTTTATACTACGCTAAATATACCTGAATGCATGCGAAGCGATTGACTGACTACTTTAAACAGTAAATAATGAGAGCATCGGCCCAAAACGGGTATAATTGTGTGACACTTTTGCGAGTTTAATACGGGATTTAGCAATAATTATACATTGTTTTTTCCCAAATATCTAAATTGATATACTCAATTCACTTCCATGGCGGTGTTTAACCCGAGTAAAGGCAAGGTGCAATGGAGTTTTCACGGCTATCAAAAAACTGTTAGTCAATTAAAAATAATCAATTTCATTAATGATCAGCGACCGGATTAAAAACTTAATCATAGTTTTGAATAATATCAGTCCTTTAACATCAATTTTTTACTGTAAAATTGTTATGTCGCTCACGTCATGGCTACAGGGCGAAACCCAAACCTAGCAGTAAAAGAAAGTTACTGTAGATGAAAATTCTGATACACCTACGCGAAAATTTACGAAAGCCAAATTCGCAAAAATCTTACGATTGGTATGTTGTGGACAGTGAGGGTGTTTGGCATTGTTCTCTGTGTAGAAATGCCAAATTTGACACAGTTTACGCAAGTGGGCACGACATCCCGGCTAAAACTACGAATCATGATCGTCATGCTGTAAATATCGGTCATATATCATGTAATGTATATAACAACAAAATTTGTCAGGAAAGAAGTGTTCTTAATGTTTCAATATATATATTTGTTTTATTTGTCATAAATATGACGCTCAGATTAAGATTTATCAATATTGTAAATTTCAAAAAGCATTATTTATAAAGATATTACCGAATTAAACATTTCATGAAAATAAAGGGAGGTAATTAGAAATTTATTTTCTATAATTTCTCAGTCAAATTTTTGAATAAGAAAAGAATGTATATAATTTTAGTGATTAAATATAATGTGCACAAATGTTTGCAGTACATATTTTACATATTCTTTGATGTTTGAAAATTGTTTTATAAGCATAATTATATACATGTATAAAATTTCACTTAAAGGTGACATCACTACATAAAGGATCTTAAAAGAAATTCCTGTTATCAGAACAGAATAGAACAGGTTTTATTATTCAATAATTATCTAATGTAACTTCATCTTCTTTTGAAAGTAACAATAGGAAAGTAAAAAATATAAAATTAATTTATTCATCATATTTTTTCTTATACATTATTATCAACAAACCTACATGAAATATATAAACATATATTTAGAGAAAGCTTATAAATAGCTGATAAATAGATATCAAAAATAATTTGTTTTTATTCATATTTGCAGCTCAAAAACATTTAGATGCCATTGCCAGATCTACTATTAATTAATAAACTGTAGAAATGTGTGGTTAATAATTATTGTGTTTATATTAAAGTTAAAGGATGTATAGCCATGCATACACATTGGGTTGTTTCCCTTCTCTCTAATTTTCGCGAGGAAGTCACTTCTTCCTAAAATTTCCCCCCAGGATGAGCCCTGAAAGGTCAAGATAAATTTAGAAATGGTAGGACTGGTGTAAAATGATGCATTCAGATGCAATTAAGGGTATTTAGTGACATTCAGACACTCCCCAAATTATTCATAAGAACCATATTCAGAGTCAGTGTTCAGTCACTCTCTTTCTCCCATTTTTTATTTTAATTTTTATTGATATCAAAGGAAATTTGCTCTACAAATATTACATTTTAATTTAAAATGAACACTTTCAAATTTATGTAATTGAGGGGTTGCTTGGAAAATTTAAGGGGCGGTCGAGAGGGGGGGATGGGGGATGTTGATGTGCACACAATCCTGAATCCCCTGCCTGTATATAAAATTATGGTGCCTAAAATTTAAAAGATCAGTCTCAATTAAAGAAAATCCACACAGACCACATCAGTCATAACAAAACCAATATTGAAAATCATTATCATATTACATGAAATAACAGAATCTTCATTAAAATGACATCAAAACATGTAAATAAGAAAATTCCCTTAAACTAAAATTTACTAAAAATAAAGGTATGCAATAAAAATAAAATCAACACCAAAATACTGCTATTTAAAGGCTCATTAAAGAAAACAAAATAACAGATATGGCCCATCATCACTGCTTAAAAGTAAAACAACAACCCAGTACATGCAGGACTTTTTCTTGAAAATTACAAAGGGATATTATTTAGTAAAAGTTCATGAAGGGGTAAAAGTCTACGCTAGAGAGATATGAGGCAGCAACCTATAATAATGACCAAAAGACATTCTGTGAAGTTTAAAGAAAATAACTTTAACCATAATTTACATATGAAATTGCAAACAAAACTTTAAAGTGTTACTATCCTGTTGATGCCTGGTTGTCATACATAATATGATTTTTTGAACAATTTAACTATAAACTGTAACAATACAACTGAATAATAATTAAAAACTTAAATTAAATTCTTTAAAACATAATAAATTTAACTTGTCAGTAAAAATGTTGAAAACATTTTTTTCTCTTAATGAATACTTTGAAAATCTGAAAATAACTTCTTAAACAGAAACAAACATTATCTTACGAGGAGACATTTGAAATTGACAGCGCCTCTATATCACTGGAATAGCCAAATGTATAAGATATCAAAATATTGTACAACAAACACTTAAATATATATAATCATGTAGGTAATAAGTATAAAATTGATTTACCAAAGGTTATTATAATTATGACCCAGTTAAAATGATTGTTTATAACTTAAGAAACTACACTTATATTTTGCTCTAACTAGATAAAAAGCCAAAATAACATCATTTGCTGAAGTTAAACTGATAGGTCTTTAAACTGATAGGTCTTTTTGCCAGAGAAAAATGAAAGAAAACTACACCAATCTATCAACCTCCGGTTTATTTGTTCATTCATTCATTCAGATTTCAACCCAGTTCAGATGTCACCTGAGTTCAGATGTCACCTGAGTGCAGTGTAACATGAGTGCAGAGGTAACATAAGTTCTGATGTTACATGAGTTAAGATGTAACGTAATTTAGATGTGTCACAAGCTCAGATGTCACATCAGTTCAAATGTCACCCAAGTGCAGATGTCACTTGAGTGCAGCTGTAACATGAGTGCAGAGGTAACATAAGTTCTGATGTTACATGAGTGCAGAGGAAACATAAGTTGAGTTAAGATGTAACATAATTTAGATGTTACATCAGTTCAGATGTCACATAAGTCCAGATGTTACACAAGTTCAGCTGTAACATCTTCAAGGAAAATAATTGCCCTTTATCTGTTATAGAGTTTGAAATGCAGCAAGATGGTATCAAATTTCTGGCATACATTTTCAAAGCACTACTCTTATTTATGGAACATTTGTACAGCACTTTTCTTGTTCTTCATATTAAAATCTGTTAAAAATTTATATATACAAATGCTGAAAATTTATATATACAAAATTATCTAGGTAACAGATAGACAATGACTGTTTTTTACTTCATGCATCAGCATTAATACAATTTAAGTTGCAGAAAAGTAAGTAACTATTATAATTATTAAATGTTTACTTGCAGGTTGGATCTTGAAAGAAAGGTATATTGGTGCATAAAACAAAATACAGGATGCAAGTATGAACACTAGAGTTGTTAGGAGTCTAACATGTTTAAGTTACAGCAGTATGAATGAAATAATAATAATAAGTTTAAACATAACAAATTTCAGCATGATTAATATAGGGAAAGTGCATAGCCACAGATGCATGCCTGCTTCCTGGAATTAACCAGTGTTGGGTCATAAAAGGAAACATGATCATCACCTAAGCAAGGCTAAAACCTACAGTCCATTGGCTGACACTGGCAAACATCTTAAACCACTAGGCCACTGTTCCCTTTCATTATATATTTGGTCATTACACTGTGCAATGTGAAAGCTACAAATTCACACCTGCAGCGGTGAGGGGCAAGTGGTATGAAAAGGTGTTAAAGAACTATAGGGAAAGGCTCACCTTAATTAAACTAGGGTAAATATTGAACTTCAGCTAGTTCATCTTGAACTACTGGTTTATCTTGAATGAACTAAGATTGGCAAATTTTGAGCTAAGGTCTATGCTGAACTACACTGAGTATGATGGATTAAGTTATCACATGGTGTTTACAGTGTTACAGTTCTACATAGCTTAATAAATGAGTTTATAATGCCAGACTTTAAAAAAAAAGGACATTTTGATGATATTGGTTGTTTATCATTATAGAGGAATTATTGATTATAACTCTAAGCTCTATAAATGTAGAAATTAAAAATAAATTAAGTAAAAATTTTGATCTCAGAAAGTGTTCACATAAACATTGTATTACTTACACATCTATAACAAGATGCTGCAAGATGCATTAAACTCATTTTACTTATTTCACAGTTAAAAAAAAAGAAAACATATCTCTTGTTTAACATAAATTCTAGATGTTAATAAATTCTTTTCTAAGGTTAATGTTTCTGGAATAAATATGTATTATATTTACATACAAAAAATAAAAGTAGATTACATGCATATAAACAAAAAGACAAGTTTCATGCCCCAATATCCATGCATACAAGTACATTTTTTTCTAAATCATCTACCGGCAGTTTTTCCACAACAGTGTCAGTCAAATTTGTGGCAATTTCAAATATTAGCCCTTAGTACAATGCTGAATTTCTTAAATGGACTTGTCCAGCATCAATTTTTGGAACTGTCCATTATCAATTTTAGGGACATTTTAAATGGACCTGTCCATATTGACCATTCCCTTATTTTAATTAAGCACTATCCATTCTTTATACAGAAAAGCTAAAATTGGGAGTAGAATTATATAGAGACAGTTCAACTTCAAGCTGGCCATCTACCAATGAACAACACCTACTATAAGTGCTTCACAACCAGTACACAAAAATACCATTTTTAATCCTTATAATTTACAGTCTTAAGGATTTTTCATAGATTATGAAAGATATTAAGTACAAGACTCATGCACAAATCTTCCTTAAATCAAACATAGGGAAATAAAGAGGTTTTGTGCTTATTTTAATGTTTAAGGAAAAATTGACAAAATTGATATTTTACCACAAATTTGACTGACACACAACATTCCATTCTGAAATACAAAACAAGCGTGCATATTATCCTTAACCCTGCCGAATTTCTTAAATGGACTTGTCCAGCTTCCATTTTTGGAACTGTCAATTATCAATTTAAGTAAATCAGGATGAAAAATTAAAAGTAATTCAGCCAACAGTATAAGGGTCTCGCCAGATTGCACCAATTTGCAGGCTGGCCTGGCTCAGTACTGGTGGCAAATGATTATCATTTCCGGTTCCGGCAGGGTAAAGATTATACATTATATATAGGTGTTCACTCACACAGGATCGTCATGGACTGGGCTGAGGGTTTCCGCAATTAACGGAGCAGGTCTGAAACGTACAGAGTAAATATTGTATTAGTGGAAGTCACATCTTAGTAAACAAACAATCATTTTATAATACAAATTGTATATACATGTAACATTATCTTAGTAGATCTAAATGGTTCAAAAGGTGACATTTGAATGTCATGAAGATTCATAAAATGTTTCTTCTTCACAAGACCTTTGTTCAACATTATACGAAATAGCATATATTCAATATTTAGCATATAATTCATATTTACTTAATTAATATTCATAATTATATAACATGTACAACTGTATTAACTTTAAGTTCATGTACTATATATTCCAATATTTAGTCTGTATACATTTGTAATACTTTTTCAGCATTTAAATTGACATTAAAGAAGCCAACGATGGCAATCTACTTTAAAGTCTTTCTCTGAAACCACTAGAATCTGAGATCTTATTGTAAAATTAGCTCCAAAATCTAATTATTATTCACTGATCTAATATATTTTTGCATAGGGTCTGTGATAGGTAGTGATAAATAATAAAATATCATTACTACTAACTTTTAAAGGGTTATACATAAACATTTTTTTACTCAGTTTATCACCATGAACTTAAGCCAGACCTTGAATTTTTCATAATTTTCTGGTATTTATGGGCTTTATGATGTCAAAAATGGATGTAAATCTTCAGCTTTTAAGTAATTTACCATATCATTTACATTTACTTATGTACTATTTTCATTATACTTTAACAAGCACCATTATACATGTGAAACAAACTTACATCCAGGTCCTTGATATATCATTACTACTTTTAGTCACAGACCTTAATAAAGCTAATCATTAATATGCATATAAAAGGGGCATAACTCCTGAAAAAATTACATTTTTGGTTTGATACCATATCAAAGGCCCATTAATAGTGCTTTTAGCATACTTTATAAAATAGTTAAATTCTATATAAAAAAAATATGCTTTTGTCTTGACTATTCTATTTTTAGATGACACAAATTGATACAATGTATATATGTGTAGATGCTGACAAATATATTACACCAATGATTTTTTATATTTAATAACTTTATTATGCAACAAATGCTGTATGAATTCTAATAAACTTCCCTCCCTTAATAAACAATATTTATAAAAGTACAAATAGAACACCCTTAGTGCATTTATGAGAAAACAAATGGTTACTGAACCTACTTACATTTTTGAGTACTCCTTATCAATTTCCATATTCTTACTCTTTTCACATTATCATTTAAGCTTCAATTCCTATTTCACCCAATTGTACATTTTTATTCAGCATTAATTATCAATTTCATTGTAATAAATGCCCTTTTTTCAACTGCACAAATTGAATTAATTGCCTTAATTTTCATGTAACAAGATCTAAGTGCTCACTTTCCACACACAGCATTTTCACAGAATGAAAAATAAAGCTTGATTGTTTATGTTTTTGCAGTAAAAGTTTAATATAACCAAAATGTAAATGATTATAATAATATATAAGTGGCATTACACAATAACTAAAGCACCTGATTACAAAAAAAAATGTAAAATAGTAACGTCAATGACCATCTTGTGAACTAATTGCAGATATGTAACAACTAATATAACTTAGCACTAAGTAAATCATTGATCTTTGGATCAATAAGGTAGAATGGAAGCAAAGTCAGTGGTTTTTACAGTAATTTTCATTAAAACTTAAGCAGTGCCCAGATAACTGATAATAAGTAGTGATTATATAATTATGTTATACAACGTAGAACAAGAAAGAGAATTATGACTGGTGACAAATGTTGAATGAAAAAAAAAATCTTTGTGATTGTCTCCATGTTTGTTTGTTTGATTTGGTTTTACGTCACAGCAACACAGTATAGGTCATTTGGCAATGTTCAAGCTTTACTGGTGGAGGAAGACCTCAGATGCCCTTCTGTGCATTTTTCAACCACCAACGGCCACCTGAGTAGAACCACCAACGTTCCAGAAGCTAGCTGGATAGCTTCCTCACATGAAAGAATCCAAAGTCCATGTCAGGATTCCAACCCACAGCGGTAAGGTTGTCTCCATGTGAAAGTTATACATAATATACAAATGAAGTACATGTATAATTGTCAATGAAACTTTTTCTTTTTAAGGTCATTGTTTTACTTAATAAATTTACCATTATCACAAAACCTAGAGCTAGAGAGTTTGATTTTGGGAAAACGTATAGAAAACGTATACATTAACAGAAAATGCATACATTTTTTGACACAATATCAAAGAATAGAGATTATAACTTTAAAGGAACTCCACTGAGGTCGAAAGGCATAAAAAGATAAAATTTGAATATGGAAAATTGTGAAAACGGAAAACTCTGCAAAGGATAACTAAATATTATACTCAAAATTAAATTGAATATCTATTTTTGTGCGATTCTTAGCGGGATTTGAATGAAAAGCATTGTAATGATTTTCATTTTTGTGTCATTTTGCACAATAAAAATGATTATTCTAGAAAAACAGGGTGAGTGAAAGACCTGAAAATGTGCACATAAGTCATTGATCCAGACCTTCATCAATTGGTACACAAATCTTGGGAAAATATTTCCAATCCCATAATGTCAAAAACCTCAGTGGAGTCCCTTTGATAAGTTACATGTAAGATATGGGTACCATAACATCATCTTCCCATAATGATTAGGTACATGATTGTATTCTCAAAGATGCAGGAAAATATAATTCCACCTGTCTAGCCAACAGAGTAAGGAAGTCTTTGAATTTGTCAATCCAACAAGCAGAGACCAAAAGCCGAGGCAAACTGAATTGAATACATATCATCTCAACCTTTAACCTGCTGAATTTCTAAAATGGACTAATCCAGCATACATTTAATACTTTTGGAACTGTCCATTATCATTTTTGGGGGTATTTAGATGAAAATTTTAATTTTGTCAGCCAAAAGTATAGAGCCGCGTCAGACTGCACGGATGTGCTGGATGGACGGACTCTATACTGGTGGCACTTTTGGTTCCAGCAGGTTAAGGGTTAATCAAATAAGCCTGCTTTGCCTAGAGGACCTTAGTGCAGTAACAGGTTAACTCCTATTAGATGATGTAAGGAGTTAACCTATTACTGGACTAAAGTGTAGATATTATCTAAGACCTTCTTTTGAGCATCCTAATCCTTACCTATCAGGTGTAGCACTGGTCTGAATCTTTCTTGATCCACTGACACTAAATGTTACAAGATAATAAAAAAAACCTATATATAACAGTGACTTTAAATTTCAAATCACAGTACTGGTACAATTGTATGCAGCAGCAAGCAACTTTCATGACACTCTCAAACAATACTGAATATGCACAGTATTGTGACCCTGCAAATTGTTATTTTCCTCTTAAAAAATGTCAAGACCTTCCATGCTTTAATAAGATCAATGTTCCTATTCTCATTTTATTACAACAAAATAGTTAAAATCTAAATAGTATGCAAATTTAGTGGTAGCCTTTTAAGCCTTTGGTTGGGCTTATAATTTTTTTAAATTATAAGCCTGAATTTGCTTGTAGTTTTCTGGCTCTAAATTCATTGATGTTTAAAAGTTGTTGCTCAACCCAACATAATTTGGTTTAGTGACATCATACATGATATGTCATATCAACATGAGGTATAGATTTTACATTTCCGCTCTTTAGAACTAAGTAATTGTTTAGTAAGGAAATAAATGGGAACCATGTTAAGGAGAACAAATGTTAGTTAAAGCACAGCAATTCAGCACATTTACTCAATATTAACCCTTAGCCTGCTGGAACTGGAAGTGATTGAGTCTTGACCACCAGTACAGAGCCCAGGCAGCCTGCACATCCATGCTACATGACCAGATTCTTTACTGTTGGCAGGCACCGAAAATTATTTTCAGAGTCACTAGAGCTACTAAATAAAATGTGCAGGCAATATTTTTCGAATCGTCCTACAGTGAATTATTTTAAATTCCACTTGTACTTCAAGCAGACGAGTGGAGAATTCGATCTCTGTGTTGATACTAGATCAATGTTTGATACTTTGTATTTTGATAATGAATTCCCTTAAACTCAATGGACTGTTCCAAATTCAAAGAAGGGCAAATCCATTACACACTGATATTCTGATTATTCATCCAGCAGGTCAAAAGTTAATCATCAGTCTGATAAATTATTATTCATATTGTACAAATATACCTTGTACTCAACTGTCGCTCAAAATACTGGTTATCTTCTCTCTGTTCTATTGGGTAGCTCGCTTGTTTGTAGGGGGCGGATATCTCCTTCCTTCCCTGCAGTGTACGCTGGTAATAAGTGTCCGCAAGACTTTTAAACGCGTCATCAGCGCCACTGAGAGTATGCTTTGGAAACTTCAATGAGTGCGGCTCAAAAGTTTTTGATGAGCTTGAATTCTCTGTAAAAAAAACAAGCAGTTTAAGAAATAATTAATATAGTTACACTTTCAACAAAGTAGCCAATTCAGACAATATTTACCAATATCTAAAGGATTCTGACAGCACGACAAAAGGACAACAATCTTCTCTGAAACTTAAGTTAAAAACAGTAGTTTTCTTTAGTTTAGTTTAAACACATTAATTTTAGCTTGATTGTGAAACAAGTTCTTGCAACTTATATTAATCACTTTCCAGTCTGCTTCCTTGACCTAGAAGCAACCAGTACCGGTGTCATATGAGGCAACATGGTCTTGACCTGAGTAGGTAGGACTCTAACCCATGACTGGTGGGTTGAGAGACAAACACCTTAACCACTATGCCACCACTCCTCCCTCTCTCGATAGCAGTTTTCTTTAAATAATCCTTCCTCGAAGTAAGAAGTATAAAATTCTTAAAACCTTTGGGGTTTTGGAGACAGACATATCTGTGGGTAAATTACCTCCTTACAGGGTTAATTATGTACACTGGGTCAAGTTACACAAGTATTTTTATAATTATCATGTGGTTGTCAATAATTGTGCTCATTAAAGAGAAATTTCCTCATTTTGTCAATATCAATTTTAGCTGAATTGACAACAATTTTCTAGTATATATTTCAAAAAATTTAACTGACAAATGGTGAGTTAGACCAACAGTACAATATAATACTAAAATGTTCAGGCCACTCTCAAATTACAAATTGAACGTTACAAGTAAATTCCAATGGATATTTACAGATAGTTCCTTGGGTCACATGAGTAAATAATAAATATTTATCTGTCATGCAAAGTAAACTTTGAAATTGAAAAGAATTTCTACAAAATGTTAACTTATTTTGACTTTCACCTGTTCACTCTTTATTTATGCTTGGATGGGCACAATGCCACATAATGATTATAAACACAAATAATAATAAATGCATTGGAAAGATAAAAAGAAAACAACTTCAAGTCAGTAACATCAATATAAATTCTAGAATAAACAACATGCGGCATCATTCATAAAGGTTTATAAACATTTACAAAGCTTGTTAAATATGTAAATGAAGAATTTAATTTAATCAAATAAAGAGAAACATTAAAGGAAATATCCCCATTCACCGCTCTGTAGCATGGTTTGTATTGGCCCAGACACTGCAATGCCATACAAAGGCTCGATCAGTAACACAAGGGCTCTGTAGCATGGCCTCAAAGTCGGATGCTGCATTGCAACAGGGTCTTTGAAATAGAATGGTCCAGAAGCGCGCTATGTAAGACCTTCTCGCTATAATTTAACATATCTCGGTAGAACTTGGTATAGTTTGCTATACGCACAGTGATTTTCCTGCTTATATAACAGACTACAATAAAAGACCTCTTCCCAATTGAAATTGTCTTTCAAATCATGCAGTTTTCCCAAAACTCTGAACTTAAACCTGCTTTTTTACTTCCCAAATTAGCAATTTTAGCAATAATTTTTCCCAAAATCAAATGGCAAAGGCCTCTTCCAAATTAAGTGAGAAAAATCACTGACCCAAATTAGGTAAGTGTTTAACCCATTACTTCATGAGCATTTTGTGAAAAATGGCTGTTTTCATTGAAAAGTCTCCCGTTACAAGTTCAAATTGCTATAATACTATAAAAACTGCTTCAACACTAATCAAACTTGGCACAAATGTTGACTGGACCATTGCCCTTGCAACAACATGCTCAGGCTTAAATTTTCTGTTACCATGACAACGAGGGGACATCTCAAAATTGCCAAAAATCACTATTTTATGTTGATTTTTTCCATCAATATTGATTTCAAAGTGCTGCAACTTCTCAATGGATTGAGATAGAGTCAAATGCTTTTCAGCGTTGGTTACACATTACCTTATGATCAATCTGGGGTCATTTACAACCTCTCACAAGTCCAAAATTTTCTTGGCGATGAGGGGGACTCCGCCCCCCTTCTAACCCCCCAAACAGAAGGGGGCACATCCCCCTTCTGGCAACCCCCTGATGTATCTTTTGGTTGGGGGGCCGCGCCGAAAAAGAGGTCACCTTTTTTAACAACATTTCTCAAACAAAAACAAGTGTTTGGGGCCTAAATAAGGCATGTTTTCATCATTTGAGACAACAAAAAAGGGGGGGGGGGGGTGAAAAAGGCGTTAAAAGGCGTGTATATGAAGTAATGGGTTAACAGAAAAGGATGAAAATACTTGAAATTACCCTAAATCGCGTTTTTCCATGTTTAAACATGGCCTGTCATATGAATTTGAAGAAAAATTGTTGTTTTGTAGATTTATTTATTTTTTTCATTAACCCATTACTTCATGAGCATTTTGTGAAAAATGGCTGTTTTCATTGAAAAGTCTCCCGTTACAAGTTCAAATTGCTATAATACTATAAAAACTGCTTCAACACTAATCAAACTTGGCACAAATGTTGACTGGACCATTGCCCTTGCAACAACATGCTCAGGCTTAAATTTTCTGTTACCATGACAACGAGGGGACATCTCAAAATTGCCAAAAATCACTATTTTATGTTGATTTTTTCCATCAATATTGATTTCAAAGTGCTGCAACTTCTCAATGGATTGAGATAGAGTCAAATGCTTTTCAGCGTTGGTTACACGTTACCTTATGATCAATCTGGGGTCATTTACAGCCTCTCACAAGTCCAAAATTTTCTTGGCGATGAGGGGGACTCCGCCCCCCTTCAAACCCCCTAATGTATCTTTTGGTTGGGGGGCCGCGCCGAAAAAGAGGTCACTTTTTTAACAACATTTCTCAAACAAAAACAAGTGTTTGGGGCCTAAATAAGGCATGTTTTCATCATTTGAGACAACAAAAAAGGGGGGGGGATGAAAAAGGCGTTAAAAGGCGTGTATATGAAGTAATGGGTTAAGAAAAGGGCGAAATTTATTTACAAGAGCAAAAAACGAAAAATCTTTAAACTTGTGAAAAGAGGATAAATATTTCAGAAAATAATGTTTTAAAGCCATATCTAATACAAAACATAGATTGCTTGTTAAAACTAGAAATGTGTCCATAGGACACGGATGCCCCCACACGCCACTGTTCTGTCAATCTCATGACTCTAGGTCAAATATTTTTTGGACTACATGTGCCACAAGTTGAAAACTAAAAATCAACAAAGGGCCATAATTCTGTGAAATTTGGTCACAGCAAAAATTCCTTCCTTTACTACCATCTACACATTAAGGTCAATGTTCATCCCTGGAAGTTTAAGCAGAATCTGCCATCCGGTTTAAGAGGAGTTGCGTTCACAAAATTTCTACTTAGTACAATGTATATAGTGAAAAAATCAACAAAGGACCATAATTCTGTTAAATTTAATCACAGCAAAAATTCCTTCCTTTACTACCATCCACACATTAAGGTTGTTCATCCCTGGAAGTTTAAGCAAAATCTGCCATTCGGTTTAAGAGGAGTTGCGTTCACAAAATTTCTACATAGTATATAGTGAAAAAATCAACAAAGGGCCATAATTCTGTTAAATTTGGTCGCAGCAAAAATATCTTCCTTTACTACCAACTACACATTAAGGTTGTTCATCCCTGGAAGTTTAAGCAACATCTGCCATCCGGTTTAAGAGGAGTTGCGTTCACAAAATTTCTACATAGTATATAGTGAAAAAATCAACAAAGGGCCATAATTCTGTTAAATTTGGTCGCAGCAAAAATTCCTTCCTTTACTACCATCCACACATTAAGGTTGTTCATCCCTGGAAGTTTAAGCAAAATCTGCCACCCGGTTTAAGAGGAGTTGCGTTCACAAGATTTTGGGACGTACGGACGGCCGGACACTCGGACGGCCGGACACTCGGACGGACAAGTGCAAAGCTATATGCTCCCACTCTGTGGGGGCCTAAAAATTTGCCCATAAACAGCGCCATTTTGAAAATACACCAAATTAAACATCAAATATTTGTAAATAAAGTCATGAAATATTATAAACTTTTTACATGATACGATTAAATAACATTTTTTATCTGTAAATTCAAATTTTATTTTCCAATTGAACAATGCATAAATTTAAAACAAGAGGGCCATGATGGCCCTAGATCGCTCACCTGACTTATCAAACTCATCCAAACAATTACCTAGACAAGCATTCTGACCAAGTCTCATGACAGGTGAGTCAAAAATGTGACCACTACAGTGTTAACAAGGATTATCCATATTTGAGCAGTGTGCATGACCTAGTTTTTTACCCAGGTGACACATATTCAAACAATCATCAAAACAAACTTTCAGACCAATTTCCAGGATACTTGGATCAAAACAGTAGCAACTAGAGTGTCAACAAGATTTTTCTATTTTTAGCTCCGGTGACCTAGTTTCACATGTGATTTCGAACTCATCCAAGCAATTACCTAGACAAGCATCCTGACCAAGTTTGATGATAATTGAGTCGACTTAGTTTCACATGTGATTTCGAACTCATCCAAGCAATTACCTAGACAAGCATCCTGACCAAGTTTGATGATAATTGAGTCGAAAATGTGACCACTAGAATGTCAACAAGGTTTTTCATCCGAGATGACCCATGTTCGATTTATTCCAAGTAATGACCTAGACAAGTTTCCTGACCAAGTTTGATGACAATTGAGTCAAAATTGTGACCACTAGAGTGTTAACAAGGTTTTTCTATTTTTAGCTCCTGTGACCTAGTTTTTCATCCGTGATGACCTATGTTTGAACTCATCCAAGCTATCACCTAGACAAACATCCTGACCAAGTTTGATGATGATTGAGGCAGAATTGTGACCTCTAGAGTGTTAACATGGTTTTTCTATTTTTAGCTCCGGTGACCTACTTTTTCATCTGAGATGACCCATGTTCGAACTCATCCGAGCTTTCACCTAGACAAGCATCTTGACCAAGTTTGATGATGACTGATGCAAAAATGTGACCGCTAGAGTGTTAACAAGGTTTTTCTATTTTTAGCTTCGGTGACCTACTTTTTCATCCGAGATGACCCATGTTCGAACTCATCCTAGCTATCACCTAGACAAGCATCTTGACCAAGTTTGATGATGATTGATGCAAAAATGTGACCGCTAGAGTGTTAACAAGGTTTTTCTATTTTTAGCTCCGGTGACCTACTTTTTCATCCGAGATGACCCATGTTCGAACTCATCCGAGCTATCACCTAGACAAGCATCTTGACCAAGTTTGATGATGATTGATGCAAAAATGTGACTGCTAGAGTGTTAACAAGGTTTTTCTATTTTTAGCTCCGGTGACCTACTTTTTCATCCGAGATGACACATGTTCGAACTCATCTGAGCTATCAACTAGATAAGCATCCTGACCAAGTTTGATGATGATTGATGCAAAAATGTGACCGCTAGAGTGTTGACAAGGTTTTTCTATTTTTAGCTCCGGTGACCTACTTTTTCATCTGAGATGACCCATGTTTGAACTCATTCGAGCTATCACCTAGACAAACATCCTGACCAAGTTTGATGATGATTGAGGCAAAAATGTGACCTCTAGAGTGTTAACAAGGTTTTTCTATTTTTTACTCTTGTGACCTAGTTTTTCATCCGAGATGACCCATGTTCGAACTCATCCGAGCTATCAACTAGATAAGCATCCTGACCAAGTTTGATGATGATTGAGGCAAAAATGCGACCACTAGAGTGTTAATAACTAAATGTGAACGGACGACGGACGACGGACAATCATCGATCCTAAAAGCTCACCCTGAGCATGCTCAGGTGAGCTAAAAAAGCTAATAAAACTCAGACCTATTTTCAAAGCAAACAGGACGTTTCGGCCCCAAACCAAATCAGCCCCTGTGCAAAAATCGACCCCTAGACGTTTCGGCCCTTTTCCGCGAGACATTTCGGCCCTTTTTTATTACAGTTTTATTTTTTTATTACAGTTTTATTTAAGTATAAAAGGAATTTTTATACTTAAAATCCTTAAAAATTGTAGTATATTGATAATTGATGGCACACAAACAATTATGACATTTTAATCCTTAATTGATAATCCATTATAGGTCTATCAATTGCTAATTAGATAAATGTTTTTTTCAAGGTGTGACATGCAAGAAATACAAAACACCTAATACTGGTTTAACAAATTAATTATTTATAGCGTACTGCTAATCAGCCGTTAGTAATATCAAAGATTTTTTTAACTTATGATTTGATATAATCTCTTGACAATATATGCCCTGCTTGAAAATCTATCACTTTTATTGTTTGTTTTTTTATATAAAAAATGTCTGTTTACAAAGTATTGTTTGTTTTATCTTTTAATTTTTTAACTGTTATTGCATAAACTCGTCACTTACTATTAATTTAATAGTTGTTGATAATGTAAATGTTTGTATTGTTCTTTGTCTTCCTTATTAATCGTTCAAATTTGAAAAAAAAACTTGTTGATATTAAGCAGATTAAATATGTTTCAGTGTTCGTGTACTATGTTTTGTTAAATAAAATTTATGTTCTGTTCTGTTTGTTTTTGTTACTATTATTTTAGCCTCATTCAATTAAAATTCATAATTTAATTATTCAATTAATTATCTCATTTCTTTTATTCTTTCATTTATTTATATGCTATTAAAATTCTGGTATAAAACACGTTAACACGGTAAGACTTATTCTTAACTAAATATGGGGCCGATTTGGTAAAGGGCCGAAACGTCTTAGGTAATTTTGGGCCGATACATCTTGGGGCTGAAATGACTTGAAATCTTTTCAACTATGAACAGTTAATTTTTATGTTGACATCCGATCGGGAATGAAAAATTCCTCAGGGCTCTCGATTGACACGGGGATCCGGGTTTTGACTCGTGAAAATCGGGAAATGCACAAAATTGACACGTGATAAAATCTGCTCAAGAGTCAATTTGCCACATGGGATTTTCAGCTATGCAATAATAATTACCTTTAATCCACCCCTAATTACCTATCAAATCCTACATATGTTCAAATCTCACTCATTAAAAATGTCAACAGGCAGTATAAGCCGTGTATAAAATGCTTTACACACTGCATTGTTTATACCCTGTGCACTGAAGCGTGACAATTCAGTGGCTGCAATTTGACAGTGCTAAAAATAGCTCTACACAACTGATAAGATTTACATACTTGAGGTGTCAATTATTGATTGCTTTTAAAGTTTTATAATACGTCTTTGATTTACTTGGAGTACCTGTGCATTTGTTATTTCTTTTTCCATTAAATATTCCAAGGTACATTTTGGTATTTAAAATTAATATGATATAACATACCAGTAAAGATAATTTTTTTCCTATTTTTTACATTTAATCAGAAAAGCTGCTGCTTATTTTATTCTTTCACAGCAATTCATTTTTTTGTTTTATTTGTTTTTTTTTTAGGGGGGGGGGAGGTATAGACATTTATAATTATGGATTTTCTCTGTCAATTTAGACTTTGGAATCTCCAAAAATTACCTCCAATACAGTCAATTTTGTAACATAAAAATTATTCATGTAGTCAAATGACACTAGAAAAAAAATGATTTGACTCGTGAAAATTTTGGCCAAAGAGTCTTTGACTCATGAAATTCTGACCCTACTGAGAGCCCTGATTCCTAATTTCATTGCAAATCTATAAAATTGTTACTTTTTAAAGTAAAAACTAATAATGTTATCAGGGTCTTTCAAATAGAATGGTCTGGAAACACGCTATGTAAACCCTTCTCACTACAATTAAACATGTCTCGGTATAACTCGGTATAGTTTGCTGTACGCAAATTATATAAGTGTTCAAGAAAAGGGCGAATATTAAATACAAGAGCAAAAAATGAAAATTTTAACGACATGATGTTATTTAAAAATCTTTAAACTTGTGAAAAAAGGATAAATATTTCAGAAAATAATGTTTTTTAAAACTATATTTGTTGAAAAACATAGATTGCTTTTTCACAATATTTGCCGATAAACGGCGCCATTTTGAAAATCGCGAAATTAATCATTCAATATTTACAAATAATATCGTGAAATTTTATGATATTTCTACATGATAAGATTGAATAACATCTTTTCTCTTTAAAATCAATTTCTATTTTGTCATTGAACAATGAATAAATTTAAAAAAGCTCATGAAACTCGGACCTATTTTCAAGTATGAGCGGTAGATTTTTACCTTGACACCGGGAATGAAAAATTCTTAATTTCATTGCAAATCTATAAAGTTGTTACTTTTACAGTAAAAACTGGTAATAAATGTAGTCAGAGTTAGTTTTAAGTAATTTTTTGATTAATTTAACAAAACATTATCTTATAATTTGATTTTTAATGGTGATGTGCTAAGCCAGATCACGGTCGGTAGATAAACCGATCACGTGACTCAACCGAGACAGCTTTTTTCGTAAAATTGGTCCGTCTCCAGACCATTCTATTTGAAAGACCCTGATGTTATGTATAGCCGGGATAAGTTTTCATTAATTTTTTGATCGATTTAACAAAACTTTATCTTATAATTTGATTTTAGAGTGGTGATATACCTTGCCAGATCACGGTCGATAAATAACCTAATCATAACTGTCCTAATCACGTGCTTCAACCGAGACAACTTTTTTCGTAAAATTGGTCCGATTCCAGACAAATCTATTTGAAAGACCCTGACTTCAATAAACTGGTATATCAGGATATCAACAATCATAAATCTGATATATCAAGTTATGGAAACCAGATCAAGTGTACTGTACTGTACACGGATTTTGACATGGAAACAAACAAAAATCTAAAAATTTATTACAGACACTCCCAAAAATTTTAGAATCTTTTCTCCCTCAGTTCTTTATGTGAGTTATCTCAGGATTATGGATTTCTACAGGAAGTTTTGAAGTCCCATTTGTTCCCAAAAGATTGACATTGTTATGGAGCTATATTACAGTTATAGAAGTAGGTGACATTGGTAAAGATGGAGAAAAAAATGGAAACATGTGAACATATCATGAATTTGTCAGCTGCAAAAAAGAAGGTTAAAAACTGCGCAGATCATCTCATGCAAGATACAAACCACTGCTACTGGAAGCGGGATCATCAACTTGTCCATTTGTTTCTGCACTCATAACTTTTCTCGGGTTTTACAATAAAATAAATAAAGAACGCAGATAGTCCAATCTCTTATTTGTCAGATTCACGAATTCGAAAACCTAGCTAAACGCCGTTTTCCGGTACTTTCTGTACATAGCTCTGGGGAATTCACCTAATGGAGTGTAATAGCGAACTCGATGTTTTCCGCCTTTTTTAAAATTAAATTGAAATAAAACAGTTATTTCTTTATAAGAAAATAATTAAATATCATTGTATGAATAATTCCATACAAAAAAATAAAGTAAATACGCAAGTTTACGCCGAAAATAACCTTATTTATTATGGAAGATTCCACTACATCGGTTTAAATTTTATTGATTTTCATATTAAACAACTTATTTTTTTGAAAAAGTTGCAATAGATATTAACGGAATATTGATATTTTTCAATAACATCAATTCTTTTCACCTTAAACGATAAAATAATGAAAGAAAAATAGAAATATCATGTAACTGTGTTATGTTCTTCATTTGGTGTAATTCCCCAGAGCTAAATCGGTAACGTACCGGAAAACGGTGTTTAGCTAGGTTTTCGAAAAGGTCAATAAATGTAAACATATGCGGCGTGCTCGATTGAAAACCTTGACCGAAATAGTTCCATTCTCTAATCGAGTAAACAAGGCAATTACGGTGTTTATCAAACTCGTTAAACCCCTTTATCCTCTTTGTACTTACACTGTGTTATATACAAATCAATACTAACTGTATAACTCTACTTTAAAAACAGAAATTTCATGGAACTTTCATATTCTCGGTTACATAAACAAATACCGAGATAGTATCTCGTGGTCACGACTTAGACTCTATAGCTATCTTGTTGCCACGACTTAGTAACTCGTGGCCACGACATAGTATCTCGTGGCCACGACATAGTATCTCGTGGCCACGACTTAGCTATCTCGTGGCCACCACTAAGTAACTCGTGGCCACGACATAGTATCTCGTGGCCACGACTTAGCTATCTCGTGGCCACCACTTAGTATCTCGTGGCCACAACTTGGCTATCTCGTGGCCACTACATAGTAACTCGTGGCCACGACATAGTATCTCGTGGCCACGACTTAGCTATCTCGTGGCCACCACTTAGTAACTCGTGGCCACGACTTAGTATCTCGTGGCCACGAGATAAATGAAAACACACATATGTCACCTTTGTGCCACCGTACTTATATCACTTGTCGTCATATTCTCTTAAATACACAAAGTTTAATAGATAATTATATCTAGACGCTCGAAAATAAGAGTAATACGTGCACCTTAACAAATGTGTCAATTGTTTATAATTTGTTACAAGTAAAAATTTTCAACACAAATCATGATCCATGCAGGGATATATACGGAATGCCGTTAGGGCCATCGCCTATGAATGGTTTGATTTGAAACGCGATACTCGACAGTACGATGATGAAAACGCGAAATCACGAAACTACTATGGTGAGAACGCGACAGTACGATGATGAAAACACGAAAAGTCGAAATGTTCGAAAAGTCACCAACAAGAAAGTTCTTCAGTTAATGATTTTGAACACATGTTTTATATATTTTCAAGTGCTTGTAAGATGTATTGTAAGACATCGATGTACCTCAATTATTTCTCAGGCCCCGGCTGCAATGGTCAATAAATTTTGAATCCCCCAAGGGATCTTTACGTGTACGTTATGCAGCAGAAATCATTATAAATGAAACATTTCTTTGTCGTTATATTTTGCAAGCCCTTCGAAATCATATTTCATATCTTATACTTAAATATTGAATTTTGTTTGTTTCATTGATTGGGATTTACGTCACAACGGCCCAGTATAGGACATTTGGCGACTATCGATCAGTTTTGCTGGTGGAGGCAGACCTCTGTGTGTGTGTTTGGTTTGTTTACCCTAGCCACCGGAATGAACCATATGGGCGAGCACAAACTTCATTTAAAACTTGCTTTATTTATATGGGAACTAATTTAATTTGTCTATAGTTTTATCGGTACATGTGTTTACGTGTGTGCCATAATTCCTACCACAAGTTCGTATAAAAGTACGCAACCCATGATAGGAATAAGATGGGATTGCTCCCATACTAAGTTAAAATGACGTGTATTTAAGAAATGAACAGCATATTTAAATTACTTAAGGTTAAAAGGGCCGAGACGTTTATAAAAAGCACCGTCTCTTATAACAGGTCAACTATTATAATATACTATGATTAAAATGAGAGAAAGAAAGTCTTTTTAAAGCAATGTCAGGAACGCATTTCCCCAGTTCAATGTGGTTAGTCAGACCTCAGGTGCCCTTCCATGCATTATTTCAAACACGAACGCGCACCTGCGTGGAACCACCGACGTTCCGTATCCTTACATGAAAGAATCCAAAGTCCCTGTCGGAATTCGAACCCACAGCCGTGAGTGATTAAAGTTTGAATATTACTGACATGTATACAGGTGCTGGGCCTCGTGAAAGATGTCGCACCTTTCTCACGAACAATGCCAACCCGTTATTTTCGCTTTTTGTTTTGCCTACATAGCCTTTGAGAGATCTCCCCTTTTTAGAATTGTAATATATTTGCTTGAATCCAATGTATTATTCTTACATGCATGGCCAGTTATATTGACTAAACATTATTTGCAAATTTAATTTGATTTTTCACATTAACATAAATCATCTTAATGACTTCATTGACCAAAGCGTAAAAGTAACTATCAACTCCTAATGACCTAAATCGTTCCAATTATTTCTCACCCTTCAGTTTATTTAGTAAGTTGACTTCCAGAATGACCTTCGAAGATAATAATGTCTTCCATTGGTTTTGAATGCCCTTGAACGTCTTTCTTTGAACTACATGCAGCTAATCATTTTCTGTGATTCAACAATTAAAAGATCATTTAGTTATTCGTTTTGTTGTATGTATCATAACTTGGCAGACATTCAAAAAATCAAACAAATATTTACTTCAATACAATTCAGTATCTTCAATGATTAATCCTTAAACTTATTTATTTTATACCATTTGGTCACGAACGTGCATTTTTTGGCCTTTGCCATTGTTTCTATATTTAGATTAAGTTAAATATAGACACCAGTTAAAAGCACGCACCACAGCCAACTTGAGCCAAGTCAATTAGGTTATTGAACTACATTTGTCATTTGTCATTTTTTCTCAAATTTCAAATTGCTTTCAACTCTGTTTACTCTTTTTCAATCGTTTAAATGATACCAAAACGTTTTAGATACTTTTATTTTTATTTCTTCAGGAAGATTTGTCAGTCTATGTCATGAATTGAATATCAATTAATTGAGTAATTGCAATGGCATGAACGTAAGACTGTTTCGTATTTTGTTTGATTTTTCAATTATTCATCTCGAAAATTATTGGCCCGCCAATGCTTTGAATGAATTTAAAATGCACGAATATTTCTTGTAAATACTTGAAGATATTAATATCAGACAAAATAAACTAAATTTTCAAGAGCATATCACTGTTTTCTTTTTTACTTTTCTCGCGATGTTTCAGGATTTAGAAGAGTTTGGATAAAAGAAACAACTGTTTGGTCGTTCTCAGAGCTGCAGTAAGTAATACAGATTTTCTACAAATTGATAATATTCAAGTGTTTTCCTGGTAATTGTTACAGTTATTGCTTATCATACAATGTATTTTAATGGCTTAATTTGTTTAAGTGACTACACAGTGGGTTTTTACATTAAGGAAGTGGAAACTTTTATTTTCAAGAATTAATTACAATTTGATGAATGTCTAAATTTCATGTTATTTTCTCAATCCATTTTTCCTAAATATATATAATATATTTTATGATAGTAAATACAATGTATTTGTAGTTTTAATAATTTTTCTACAGTGCAAATTGACCCAAATAATGTTTTAACTCAAATCCGGCTAAAATTGCACAAACAATCGATATTTATTTTTGAGTATAGCTCTTCATTATCTTTTGAATATTTTTTTTCATTGCAATTGCACTTTTATGTCTTTTATGCATTTGAACTTTTATGTCTTTTGTGCATTTGACCTCTTTTGAAACTTCTATATGAAGCAAAATGTTTTGACATGCTTTGTTTTGGAAATCAATTTAAAAGCGATGTGTATAGTTTTAAATAAATATGTTTATTAAATGAAAAACTTCTTGTTAAAATCCATATACACAAAAAAAGAAACCAAACAAATGGAAATAATCCAAAACGACAAAAACAAAAATAAAATGAATTTGTTCTTTTTTTGTGAGAGGGGCTCTAGTCTTAGTCTGCGCTAGTTGTATTGGTAGGATTAACTTAAGGTCTTCGGCGTGTCTGTTTATATACTTTGACATACCGTATCAAATGATGAACAAAAATGTTAAAAAGGGGAAGCCAGAATTATGGTAGAATCTGTTCCTATCTGCTACATGACCCCATCCAACCGTAAGCAATGGATTTTAATTTTATATAAAATTAACGACTTGAACATTTACGACTTAATGCATATAAAAATCTCTGATTTACATGAATTATTCAAATACACAATAATTATAAAATTTAATTGATACATCGCATATCAAATTAAGGTCAATTTATTCGTTTTAGTAATATGAAAGACATAATATTCAACACTGTATTCAGATATAAGCATTTGTCAATGATTATTTTCCTCAACGGGATAATACGTTTGTATCAACTTTGCCAATGGATCGAAAATTTTAATTAATTCTACAGAGTGCATATGTAAATGTATATTTGTTATTTACAGTGCTAACCAGTATAAACTGGTGGTTACTGATTTCTCCTATATTAAAGCGGTGCGGGGGTGGGAGGTTGCCAGATGTTTTTACTCTTTGTCATTATATCATGAACACCGATATTTTGAATTGCTCTGGAACCATTTATTTTCTAAAAAAAGTTAATGATTAAAATGGTGATTTCTTTTTTACATTTTGAAACGGCATTTTGTAAACATGTTTGACAGATCTTATTCTAACTTTTACGGTAAATCTATAAGATACACTCTATTAAAAGACTTTACAAGACACATTTTATAAAAAAAATAGGTAAATACTTGTACGGATAACGCTTTTCAATAGATGCACTGAAGTATATTTTCTTTTCGTTATAGCATTTATCTGATAATGTTGCTCATTGCTTTATAATAAAGCATCTTTATATTCATTGAGCCTATAATAATTTTTAAATAACCCCAGATCACAACGGTAATTTCCCTAAAGAAATTGATAACTGGTGTATTGCATTTAATGACTATTGTTCTAATGAATGAGGTAGCAACCTAAAAGACTGGCATACTATTTTTCCTTCCTATTTGGCGTTCCTAAAATATAAATAGAATGATTTGCACCACACATATGTATTCATGGGCGCTCAAAAGTTTAGTTACCTTTGTGGCTTCAATGTACATCAAACTTCACTGTAAGTTTTTTTATTGCATTCTCTTCCATATTCAGTCCAGCCAGTCAACAAGTTTTCAACAATTTGCTCTTTACTCAAATATATATATTTTCATAAAAATAGCTAAGGTAGAATCTTGAAAGGCCGCCCTACACGGCACATTTGAAAACATTCCAGGCTCGCTTTAAGTTTTAACTTGCCAAAGATGAAATCTTTGCTTTTTATTTGTGTTGAACAGACATACATGTGCATTGTATACAAAATGATAAATATTTTCATTTGGCCTTCTATTTGTTTTTTTTACTCAAATACACTTTTATTGTATATTAAATTCTTACATAAGCAATGTTTATACATGCTGTTCTCTTTAGCCTATATTTATACTTAAAGTTACATCTGTTGAACAAAATATAAATCCAATAAAGTCTGAGGCGACTCGGCACAAAATTAAAGTTCACAAATATTAGATTTTCATTTGGATACTTACCCATGGTTATTTACTCGACTGAAAATAAGTAAATGGTATCTTCGTTGTAGGCATATGTGGAAGAATATTTTTTGTTAAAGTCAGGGCTTTTGTTCAAACACAGGGATAACATAGTAACAGAAAAAAAAATCAACTCATTTTTAACTATCAGGTAAGCAAGTTTTCTATTAAAAAATAAAGATGTTTTAATGCGTTAGAAGGCTCTATTGAATACAAATTGTAAACAGCATAATACATTTAATACATATAGAAACAAAATTTTCATGAAGGAGTATCTTCTATAAATGTTAATATATATTACAAAGCATTCATGGAAATATATGCTTTTGAACTTTTTGCTTGCCTGCAGCAAATTTTAAAAGTATATCATTAGAAAATTAAAAATGTTTGTTTCAAAGTTAAGAATAATAGTATTAGCAGAAGAGAATCTGGAAAAAAGAAAGTAGTTAATGATCGACATTTTAAAAAAGATTATATTTCTTTTTTTTTGTTTATAAAAAATCTAAATTTATATGTTGTGGTATCAAAATAATAACAATAAATTTTAATGCACATATGCAACGGTAATTTAGTATAAATAAAAAATAAATATACCATTGTATTCAGACTTATTACTGCATCTCAAGAAGTTGAGAAGTATAACAAAAATATATCTCTAAAAGTGACATTATGCTCATTTTTTCACAGTATCTATATAATAAGTATACATCCCTATCCACTTTGAATTGTATTTGCTAGATAATTCAAAGGAATATAATGGTGCCTGACCAACAACTGGCTTTTACAAATGATTATCTTCTTTGCGTTACCAATAAAAATGATATTTGTACAAATTTGTTTAGGCCAGACAGGTTATTGATTGGTCATTAAAAATGAAATTGATTATGGCAGATTGTAAAGCTATTTTGACACCCACCATTTACTATTGGATGGGCATAATGTCACTGTAACATGTAGCAATATAAGATCATCTAAGAGAATAATTGATGAATGAAATATTCCCATTTTAAAGACATAAAAATGTGAAAGCGAAAATTGTTCATATTTCGGAACTTTATTTATAGAACCTGTTACAGTAATTATACTTGACTATAATGTTTCTTCTAATGCTTAAAATATAATGTTTAAAAAAGAAATTAAAACAATACCAACAACAACAACAAACATACATGACCGTTTTAGAAGCTTGGTACCTCGTTTTAACCGTGTCAATGGTAAAATTCTAGCAAAAATGGTTTTTAGCAAGCCTAAAATCTGCGTTCACTTGTTAACCTTAGACTAAAGATGCAACACCTTTAAACACGGAGTTTTGGATTATATCAATATTATTTTATTACATGTATATATTATTCTATTATTTGCTTATAGAAATAAATTCTTGTAGTTGTATTTGAATATACTCGCACAAATAAAACCATGATGAGGGTCATATGTTCAGCATAAAATAAATAAAAATAGCCAAAGGTCAAAAGTTTTGATTTTTTGGCTGAATCATACACTTACACTAAAATGCTGTGATTCGAAAGCTGTAAATAAATGTTTGGTATATAAGTGGCGATATTGTAATCATATTTAACATAGTGTGTATCATTATGAGGACAAGTTCAATGTTGTTATATATTTTTGGTCCTTCTAAATCATTAATACCAGCACTTTTAAGTGTTGCAAATTGAGTATCGTTCAAGCCGGTGCTAGGGGGACGTGAGGAATGTTGCATCATTTTATTATCCCCCATGTACAGACTCAATCAAACCGGTCTAAAATTCATTAATTTGTTGTGTTTTTTGTTTCCCGGGGGGACACATTTTGTCAATTTTTTAAAATTATTTAAATTGCAAATAGATACAATCCGTTTCAACTTTTGGAAAGATATCTGTGGGCATATGGTATGGGGTTTATCGTTAGAATACGTAGCAATACATGTATACTATAACTAGTAATGACACCAAATGAATATTTGATTAACATATTTACAAACAATGGTGATTTGCTTATTACAAAGTTTATAGAACTTTGACAATGAAATGTATATGTGAATTTATTAACAGTATTTTAATATGACATTAGAGATAAGTGACAATAATTTTTAATTAGTTTGAAACACTGCAAAGGTCCAATCCGCGCTATAGCAAATGTTAGTACCATCTAGATTTAGCTCAATAAAGCCGTTTCAAGTATCAAACGATTTTATTGTTCCCCTGATCCCCTTTAGCCTTCATATGTCTTACATTAATGTAATAAAAATTATAGATTCATTCCATAATAATTTTAAATCAATTCTATTTGCTTACATTCAAAGTGAATTACGCCGCCCTGGGCATGTTTGTATATGGAAACTCTCTTTGCTAAGTTGAAACAGAAATAAGATTAAATATTATATTCTGAAAGTTAAAGATTTTGTAAATTTCTATGGAAGATAAATAATAAAAAATATTACAACATGATAACTTCTGGTTGCTTTATATGGAAAAAAAACAACAACAAGTACAATGCACAAATGATTGCTTAATCATGTATTATTCGTTTGGAAGCACCTGTACATGTACTATTTTTCACAATCATTCAGAAATATTGGTGTGTGGTAATATTTGCATAATCTTCCATACACAAGTAGTTCTTGAATAACAATAAAATCACCTGTTCAAAGTATATTTTAATCATCAGATAGCTATAAATTCAGTGTTATGTATA